TACCTCACAAACCCTTGCTTTTGAAAACTTTACCAATGGACGATAAAGATTTATTTTTATAAAGACCCTACAATTCCAATTGTATTTAATCGTGACATCCTAAGGTTGTTATTTTAATACAGATTTTTTTGAGACTTTACAAAGATGTACAACTATATAACTTTACCAAGGATTTTACCAACAATTGTATCAGACACTTTCCCAGCATCTTTACCAAGGATTTCACCAACTATTGCATCGGAGACTTTTCCAGCGATTTCATCAAAAAGTTCACCAACGACTGTATCGAAGACATTTCTAACGATTTTACCAAAGACTTTGCTAACGACTGCATCAGAAACTTTCCAGTGTCTTAGCTAAATACTGTTTCAAAGACTTATCAAGCGACGAAACCAAGGATTTCATTAACAGCTTTACGAACAACTTTACGAAAGACTTAACAAACTATGTTTCTAGCTACTTTATGACTTCCAACTTGTATACGTACATACATATATATATTTTTTTGTCTTTTCTCTTTTTTTAATGCATGTATAATTGTCATTGTTATTTATTTTAACAAGGCGACCTACGGCAGAAGGATTTTTTGATCCATTGTCTAATTACTTCAGTTAAGTATTTCTTCTCGCTATTACTGCATTCTAAATACGGCAGACAAGAATGGCACATCTACACGGGAAACAAACACTTTGAGCCCTGAAGATGATCTCAATAAAGATCGAAACGTTGGCACGATAAAGAAAATGTTTTTCTAAAACCTACGTTACACCAGACCGCATCTCACGACCTCCAAATAATCATCAACTAACGGTCACTAAACACCACACATATAACAGTCTGTCATTCATTCATTCATTCATTCATGCATGCATTCTTTTGAATTGGTGGGGTAGGTTGTTTAATTATTTTAAAAGATAGTTCTTATTGTTTTTTCTTTTCTTTCTTCCAATTCGGATTTCAAGCATTAAACGCTCATCATCAGGTTGAATAAGTTACAAACACGTCTTTCGACATGAGTTGTAAGGGTCTAACCATTCATGAGGAGACGTGTCTTCTCTACCTCGATGAGCGTTTATTGCTTGAAATACGGATCGTTGAAAACAACAAACTCTGAGTAAGAACTATTTTTTTAAAATGCTTTATTAATGTTCTCGTCAGGGAAAACAAATTGTAAGCTAGTTGGAAGTTATAAATTATAGAATTGAAATTTGAATCTGCTAGTTTTTAGAGAATTTGAATTTATTTGAAAAAATTATGTTGTACATCTATTGTCCTCGAGTTTCTTTGAACCGGCGAGTTATAAACTCCTTATGCCTGTCTCTTTTCAAAGTGGTTCCTGCCTGGGAGTTAAATAAGCATTTTTGTCACTTTAAACAATGTGTCGGATTGGCGTTGAAGACGGAGGAGGGAAAGCCGGCCGACCCAGAGAGGCAATTCGCTCCACTCGAGTTCCTTCAGAGGGTCTTTGAACCTGGCTACCATTGTTCCGCCTTTTCACTGCTCTCCTTTCCGTGAATATCCACGATTAAAAACTGAGTAATACCTAGTTTCGGGTCCGAGCTACGGATAAAATGTTTTACACAATTTGTTGCCGGCGACCGATGCGAGATAGAAAACGTTTTAGATGGATTGCCGATAAATTATTCAACCTGAATTGTCCAAGCTGGCTACACTTTTCTTATGTTCTTTGATAACGTCAATACAAACTGCCTACGGTGCATTACATTCACAAGTGCTCTTGCAAGAAAATTAATTATTAAAAACCAATTATTGATTTCAAAACAAAAGTTACCAAACGGTAATTACAAAGCGATGGGAAATTGATTCCCAAATTAATCTACTTGATAATTTATTATTCAAAACGCAATTAAAGTTCTGGATAACTGTTAAAGCAAGTTTAAAATTGATATTAATTTAATCCATACATGTTTAGCGTTGACCTATTTACTTATGCTTTTTATCTAAATTATTGGTTGAGATGAAAACGTTAGTGTCAGGATTCGAACCCACGACCTTCGGCTCAGTACGCCGTTGCTCTAACCAATCACAACAGTCACGATAGCTGAAATGGTTTATCCTTTCGCCTTGTCCGAAAAATTCCTTTTTACAATAAGGTAAACAAGATAGGATTCGTTTTCCGCCAACTTGCAATTCCAGTAGGGATTTCCCCTTTGGATGTTTTTCCAGGTTTGATCATCGTCCTTGTCCAACATTCATGGGGTAAATTATTATTCCCGTCACGTTTAACAACTAAATATTATCTCTATGAAATATTGTTCCCCTCTTTCTGGAACCGTGCTAAATCACATCGGTCAGCCTTTTTTTTTGGGTCTTGTTAAATCCGACCACGAAGGGGGATGACACATTTAAAATCAGCTATCGGCGCCCTTTCCCTTGGGAAAGAGACAAGATCCGAGCTATGTATTTTTTGATTATGATAAAAGAAAGATATTTTAAACAATACAACGCATATTATCAACAATGACATACATAATATAAAATAATTTGTTTCTTTATTACGCCGTTCAATGGGGTGCATAAAATGTTCAAAAACTTTTAGACCGAACAACAATACTTTACAATTACCACCCTGCTTAAGAAAAACATTGAAAACCAAGACTTTTTAAGTTAAATTTCTTTGCAAAATCCAATTAGAATTTAATATTAACTTACTTTACAGCCTCGGAAATGGGAAAAAACCGAGACAGAATCTCATTCATATTAAATTCAGAAAATTAGTTCTTCGGACTTGGTTTCTAGGTTTTCGGACAAAAGGCGAACTTCTTTGTGGCTTCTTCTCTATGTTGCATAACAATGCTAACTTTTATGTTTTGTAAAACATGATAAAAACTGTAGTGTTTGACTTTCTCTTGCTTTCAACTTCTGCTATTTTCTGATACTCGTGTCTACCTGAAACCAGAGAAATATTGTTAATATAAAATAATAAAAACAGGTTCTACGGATGAAAATAATCGAAATGATTTATTGTTTGAAACATCGTGCACTTACCCACATCTCCAGGAAAAACTGCAGACACAATTATAGATAGCTATAGAAACAACTGACGTTATTTGCATATTTATTATTTGCATCATTTCAACTTTAAATAATAGTTTCATTCCCTAGTTTCGTGGTCCGCTTGAGCAATTAATATCTTACAATTAATTAAGGTTGAAAAATGGCAAAAAGGAGGGAAAATTCAAAAGGTGGGGTTGAGATGGGAAGTTGGTGTCCGAGTGGATCGAGGTCACGATAGCTCAAGTGGTAGAGCAGCGGCGTATCTAGCCGAAGATCGTGGGTTCGAATCCCGCTCGTGCCATTGACTTTTTTATCTCAACTAAAAACCTTAATTAATGTTAAAATAATAGATTGGCACTATTTTTATTTAAAATTAAGGCAAATTCACTAGTTTTCGTGGTCCGCTTGACCAATTACTATCATCAAATTAATTAAGGTTTTTAGTTGAGATAAAAAAAGTTAGTGTCACTAGCGGGATTCGAACCCACGATCGGCGGCTAGATACGCCGCTGCTCTACCACTTGAACTATCGTGACCTCGATCCACTCGGACACTAATTTCCCATCTCAACCCCACCGTGGGTTCGAATCCCGCTCGTAACACTGACTTTTTATCTCAACTAAAAACCTTAATTAATTGAATTAAGGCAAATATTAATATTAAATAGTGATATGAGTGATTATGTTATGAGTGATAAAAATGTGATTTTTTATGAGGACGATGTTGTACTTAATTATTTCAGAAAGGATGTACTGATCCAAAAAAGTTTTCTAAGTTTGCCAAGCTTTCGACGTTTCGCCTTCCTCTGGGCAAATTTATGAAAAAAATGTAAGGGATTTGGGGTCCTCACATACACAAAAACAAAACAAAAACTTAAGACTTTAACAATAAAAAACATCTCTTTATCAATCGAAAACATTAGTACAGATTATTGAAAACAATAGTATAAACTATTGTTTTCAAGTGATGAAGAGATGTTTTTAAAAAAATTTGTTAAACTCCTAAAGCGGTTTTTTTGAAATAATTGTTATATTATAGCCATTACATTTAGTGGTCTGATGGACCAAATTACTTCTTTCAATTAATTAATCTTTTTATATAAAGTTTTGGTTGAAATGAAAAAGTTAGTGTCAGGAGCGGGATTCGAACCCACGACCTTCGGCTCAATACGCCGCCGCTCCAATAACCCGAGCCATCGTGACCTCGTTATATTATAGTTTCATACGTAAGGACTTTTAACGGAGAGTGTCCATGAGGACTCCAGATCTCTTACATTTTTTATTTTATTTTATTTTTTCATAAATTTGCCCCGAGGAAGGCAAATATATTCGCCGGAAGCTTGGCGAACGTATAAAAGTATTGTTGTTCATACATCTGATGCACTTCTTAAATTTTTCATTAAGAAAAACCCCAAATCTTGGCAAGAACTCTTTAAAGTTAACCTTAAAGATTTTTAGAAATGAAATGTCCCGTTATGAAATATATAAAGCCGTGTAGAACTCATATAAAATCATATGTTAATTGTAACTGTAATTCTTGCTTTTATTCTGCATGACAAGTTCGCCAGTTTTTCCACTCTGAATTATTTTCCGATTGGAACAAATGTGTTGGGAGTCGGAGCAAATTTTTCTTCAAGTGAAACTGGGTGAATTTTTCAAAAGGATGGACGTAAATTGTTACGAGAGGGGGCAGCATGAAGGATGGTGGCATTTGAAGTACAGATTTATCAAGTACGGCTGGAACTCATGACTTAATCTTTCAATTATTGCACATTCTCCTTTGATTTAGGGAAGTACCCTTAGCAAATATATCTTTTGAATCCAGCTGAAGACAACACGATTGCTAATAAAAATGGAATTTATGATTAAATCAGTGAATCAACTGAGATTGATACAGGTTATAAAACGTCACATTGTGATTAGTCATCTGTCAATTTATAGAATGATTTTTGTTTTATGAAATGATACAAAATTGCAAGAATGTTGGCCATTTGATCTTCTTTTATTAACATAATACAATGGCATAGATAGTTTTTTTATAATTGTATAAATCATCAAGGAATTGGTGGAAGAGAAGATTATGAGGTGGTCAAGTCGAACTTAACTTTCCGATGAGCTGACGGTTGAGCCTTGTGACGATCTCGAGCGCCCTCGTTTCCCAGGCGGCAATGTCATCACCGTAGATGGCCTCGTTGAGATACTCTTCGATGGCGAAGTTGCTCTCCTCGACGACAAGGAGCTTCTTTTCGCAGTTGGCTATCGCGATGTAGTTGTCGTTCTCCGCGAGGGCTTTCTGCAAGTCGTTAAAGCAGTTGAGCGTGTCCTGCCACAGAGATTTGGTCAGAGGGCGGTCCGAGCAGAGTTCGGCCTTCTCCTTCAATAGCCAGACCCTTTTCGTGTCGAACTCTTCCTCCAGGCTGACCAGATCCGAGAATATGTCGATGTCGGACAGCATGGTGTTGATCTCCTTGTACAGCCGCTTGTTCGTGATTTCTATGTTCTTCTTCATGATGCCCAGTTTGACCAAATAGCGATTCGCCAGTAAGAACTCTTTACTTGGTGATCTTTTCGGACCTGCTGAATTCGCGCTGTCGTAAAGAGATTTGTAATCAACAGTGGTTGGTATGAAGGCAATCTTCTTTTCTGTTTGGTATATTATATCTAGAATATTTTTCTGAAGGGTCTTGAGTTTGTCGTTTTCATTGCTCATCATTTTATCGACTGAGGATAAAAAATCTTCGATTCCTTTTTCCTTATTTTTGAGATCCATCACTTTCCCTTGTCTCGAGCACTTTCCGAAGACGTCTTCTTGCGACAGCGATAGCTCGGTTTCTTTGATCTGTTCTTTGACGTCGCTGGTGGCTTTTTGGATCGCGGCAGTCTGCGCTTTGTCCTCTTTTATACGATTCAGTAGCTCCTTTCTCTGATCTTCAGGCGAGAGATTGCACTTCAGCTCCTCCATGACCCGGTCTTTCGTTTTCTCCAGTTCGTACAGTTTCAGCTCGAGTTTTATCTGTTCCTGTTTCTCTGGCGAGATGAAGACTTGGCTTAAAATCGGGTTCTTCGACTTGTTGAGATGATCGATTTCGGATTCCAGTTCCATCACTTTTTTAGCGTAATCGTCTCTCTGCGACTTGATCCTCAAATACTGCTGCCTCTCCGTCGGGTTCATGTCCTTTTCTATCTTCTCAAACTGTTCGATCTCCTTGTCGATCTGGCCTTGGAGGGACTTCAAGGATTCCTGTTTTTTCACTCTCTCCGTGTAGAGGCTCTCTAGGGAGAGAACGTCCGAATCGTTGATTCTGGCGAGGTCTTTCGCGGCGCACAGTATCGTCGTTGAATCGGCGCCTACATTCACTTTCTCGATGCAGGTGTTGTACTCGGCGAGGGTCTTCTGCAGATCGGTTAGTTCGGTCGCCAGTTGCTTGACCCTCTTCTCGTAGATGCCGATCGCCGATTGCTCCCTCGTGCTCTTCTCCATTTCCATCCTGATCTTCATCAGTTCCGAGCTTATCTCGCCGATCTTCAGCTGGATCACCCCCTCGAAATAGCGTTTGTCCCTAATCGCCCGGGCGTGGTTCCCATGGCTGGTGCTCGTCCTGAGGAAGCTGATGCCCTTCTGGGAGGCCAGCCTCTCGGTGTTGTGCAGCGACTTGTCGCTCAGCAGGGACGCGGTCGTTTTGGGACAAGGGAAGGCACACGCGGACGGAGGACGCAGAAAGACCCGAGGCCGACCCGGGGCGAGCGTTTCTGAACAAAAGTTGCCCCTCCTCGACTTCGGCCTCTCCTCCAGGCTCCTGTGGCTGATCGAGTGCCCATCCTCCATTATTTTGATTTGAGAAAAAACTGAAAACAATCTAGCCAGCTGAGGGTACGTTTTTTAAAAATAAATTTCACATGATTTATTTAAAACACATGTTTTTCCAGATGACGGATATTATGTCTTATGGATAAATGCAATTAAATCGACGTTACAAGCTTCTTCCTTTAGTAAAGAGAAAATGAACGAACCATAAAAAATTATAAAGAAAAATAAATAAATATTGTAACCTTAACTAGAGCACTGGTCGGTCATATTCTAAGTTAAAGGTAGATCTTATGTTTAAAAGTTTCTAAGTTGTACGAGCGGGCCGTAGCCAGAGGCCAGGTCACATTGCAATATTTGCAACTTAGAATTATCATAAAAACAGGACAAAACCATGAATCGAACACCCTAAACACGGGTTTCGAATGCCCGTCGATTTCGGACTCCGAACCCATGTACATCCTCCTTAATACCAGTTGTTAAGACTTATCTCTGATAAAGACGAAACTGTCGAAAAGATCGGATTATTTTCGAAAATCTTCTTCTTGAAAACACCGTTAACCTCACTAATTTGTTAATAGTTGTTAATTTCGTTGAAATCGCTGTATGGGAAAATAATGACAACGTGCAATAACGTGTTAGAAACGTGATTCCCCTAATAAGATGTGTTAGCAGCTTGTTATCGATAATCTTGTTTCGCATATTCTTGTTTTTATCGGTCAGTCACGTTTCTTTATTACACGTGATGATAGGCGATCGCATTAAACAACTGTTGATTATGTATGTTATGTTTTTTAATAGATTTATTATTATGTTATAATTTGAGTTAATTATACCTTAAATGTCGTCAGTTGGATATGGGACTCCAGAAGGAGTAGAAATGTAGGCTTTTGCTATCGATTTGATAATTATAATTGGAGGAGAAACAGTATTTGAACTAAATTTATCTAGGCAACGAAGTATTTTACCAAGTGGAGAAATGGTCGATAGAAAATAAAATAAACTTTAATCCGGAAAAATCGGAAGTACTAATGATCACCAAAAAACAGAATATAAAACCTATAGAAGTGTGCATAATGGGGATAAAATTACCTGTAGTTAAGGAAATGCGCGTCTTGGGAGTTTGGTTTGAAAAGAAGAGGAAATGGAATCTTCATATAAGCAAAATATGTGAAAAAGCAACCCAAAGTGTACATATGTTGGCAAGATCGGCCAAGGTTTATTGTGGGTTGGGTTATGGAGCTCTACAAACAATTTATAAGGAGCAATTTAGCCTATATTGCCTTATACTGTACCAGTATGGATTGTATAGCAAACAGAATATACGTAAATTTAGGAGTGTACAATGTGGAACATCTTGAATAAGAGGATTCAAGACAATCTCTTTCGATGCCGCCGTCGTCTTGACAATTGACATCAAATTGCGAGAAATCGTACAGATCCATTCAGCATATGCAGAAGAACAAAATCCCACACTGCCAAAATACGAAGGCAAAAGAAGCATCCCTTGATGAGGACCTTGGAATCACTTATATAAAAGTACCAAAAGCCATGTCATGAAAAGTACTAGGATGCAGAGCAGGATGATCTGGGAGAAGGAATGGACAGACGACGAATGAAGCATATACCAGGAGTTCCCGACAGTCGAATCCTGAATGGATATCATCATTGACTACAATGGCTCTTACAAGCCATGGGAAAAACAGATCATATCTAGCGCGCTTCAACATCGTGTACGACCTAAAGCGTCATCCCATGTGTTTTGGGACCACAGACCTGTACGCACATTATATACATCTGCATCTTATTTGATAGAGAAAGGGCCACCTTAATGTGTGAACCATGACCTCAGTGTGAGAGAAGTTTGATCTCTGAACATAAAAAGAATTTCTGGATTTTTGTAAAAAAAATTGTTTTGTCAAAATTTGTCAAATTTCTGTCAAAACCTAAAATAAATAGGAAGTAATAAATAGGTACTTAAATACATGAATAAATAAATAATATATAAACAAGTAAAATAAAGTAATTAATTAAATAACTAAGTTAGGCGTTAATATATTTGAGCCTTGAGGTCCCATAGGGTTTTTTGTTTGGCTCTGGGTGCACGTTTTTGTCTTTTATCTTGAACTAATCTTATGGCGTTACCAAGACGTCTACCACAAATGTTTTTGACAATTGATATCTTTGAACTCGAGCAGAAATTGCTCTCCGGAGTGTGTGTGGAGTACATCATCTTGGTTGATAATGGCTGTTAGTGCATAACCTTAGGAACTTATGTTGAGTTCTTTGCAGCTTGTTATAATTGGTGTTACAAGTTAAGCCCCAAGCAACGCATGCATATGTCAACACGGGCCTTACTGTAGTTTTTGTAGATGAGCAATTTGTTATAAACGCTCAACTGGGACCCTCGAGACAGAAGTGGGAAAAGTATTTTTAATTGTTATTTTCCCTTCTGAATTAATTCATTGATATGGGCTGCAAATATTAACTAGCCGAACGCCGAGGTACCTTATTTTGGGAGACCAGTTAATTTCTTCACCATTAAGGTGTAAGGTCTACATTTGGATGTCATTTTGTGAAACTTCCACCTCGTAAAGTACCCCGCAGTCCTCTCCGCTGCTCTGCTCAATCGATTCACTACGGCACTCACTGATGATGTGTAGAGCGTAATGTTATCCGCGAACAGGGCCAGTTCAACGCCAAGATTTTGGGCATATCATAAATATAAATGAGGAACAGAGCGGGTCCCAGAACAGAGCCTTGTGGGACTCCAGCAGCCACATTACTAGCCCGCAATTCTACGCCTTGAATTGATACTACAAACTTTCGTAGGGTGAGTGAAAAGGGTTAAGATGGGAATCACTGCTTTCCTCTGTTTCTTCTCTAAAATATGTATATCAGGTGAGAATTTATACAAGAATAAAACTAAAATTTAAATGCCTTGCTGTAAAGACAAAAGATGCATTTCAATGGCTACGATTTTATTGTTTTTCGAACATCAAATACACACAAACAACATCGATACAATAACACAACACTAAAAATGTGCGGGATTGTTTCCGGGAGGCGTTGTTGTTAACAACTTGATAACAGTTCTTTTTTTATTTGTTTTCTTCTCATTTAATCCGAGGCTGTGAGGAGCTTCGGTCAGTTGGGCGTGCAGGCGGCGGATAGCCATTGCGAACCCGCGATCTGATTGATGGTCGCCCTTCTCGTCACATCCGGTTCGAGTATGTGCCTGAAAACAAACAAAATGAGTAGGCCGAACAGATCAAATCTTAAAAGTTCTGATCATTCAAACAAACTAATTTTGGCATAGCTATAAAGACTCCATAGAAATGGAAGTAGTGACAGACTTTATTTTCTTGGGCTCCAAGATCACCGCAGATGGGGACTGCAGCCAAGAAATTAAAAGACGCTTGCTCCTGGGGAGGAAAGCTATGACAAATCTAGACAGCATACTCAAAAGCAGAGACATCACCCTGCCAACAAAAGTGCATATCAGTGTATCAAGGCGATGGTTTTCCCAGTTGCAATGTATGGCTGTGAAAGCTGGACTATTAGAAAGGCTGAACGCCAAAGAATTGAAGCCTTCGAACTCTGGTGCTGGAGAAGACTTCTGCGAGTCCCTTGGACTGCAAGGCGATCAAACCGGTCAATCCTGGAGGAGATCAACCCTGACTGCTCTCTAGAAGGCCAAATCCTGAAAATGAAACTTAAATACTTTGGCCACCAAATGAGAAGAAATGACTCACTGGAGAAGAGCCTAATGCTGGGTAAGATTGAGGGCAAAAGAAAAAGGGGGCGACAGAGAATGAGGTGGATGGACGGAGTCACTGAAGCAGTCGGTGTGAGCTTAAACGGACTCCGGAAGATGGTGGAGGACAGGAAGGCCTGGAGGAGCATTTGTACATGGGGTCGCGATGGGTCGGACACGACTTCGCAACTAACAACAACACATAAAGACTCCATAGTTGATATATGGCATATGACCTCAAGGACACAGGCCAAAATAACTCACCTAACAGAAACACAGTTTCAGAAAGGGTACGAATGGACGGCGATGTGTACTGTGTAGAAGATGGGCCCTAAGATACATTTTTACTACTTGGGGATACCCTTTATCTGTGCGACAGCTGGCTGATAGAGTTCCACTGATGATTTGAAAATGTCGGTTATCATATATTTAAACCCAAAATTATTGGTGCATATTTTTTATTCCCTGCAAGAAGTCGTTCGATAACTTCTATAACTTTGTCCATATCATCCTTATAAAGTAAATTCTTTGGTTAGCTTAAATCACCCAGTGCCAGATCATCTGGAATGAATTGAAAAGGGTTCTTCTCGTAATATCACGGACCTTGCACTACTTTACTCATTGTTCGTTATATTGATTTTTTAACAGTGATGAAAGAGCCTTTCGCACAATTAACAAAAGATTTTTTTTCTCGGATTCCGTGAGTCGTCTCCTGATGATGACGCCAGGACCGAAATATTAGTATAAAAACATAATTTCATTGTGGTATCACGGTATGGTTTTATGATTGATGTTTAATCAATAATTGTACCACCATTACACCAACAAATACTGGGTTAATTTTTCCACTGAAATCTAAACAGTGTGTATCATTTTGATATTTATTGTTTTGCTGTTTTTTCCGCAGCACCGAGGAATTTATTGTACCCTGAATTGAAACATTAACATTTAAGTTGTATCCTTTAATCCAAAACTGTATTAATTAACTTCAATAGCTGGATTTTAAAATTAAGAACGGTCGTTGCTTCAGAAACGTCCTGGCCAATTTGGCGTAATGACTTTCCAGGAGAATTCCCTCAAGGGAGAAAGTCTCACCTCTTGAGGGGTGCTTTTACGAGGTTCTATTTATAAATTTATAAAAATTCTACCTTTATTTTAAATAATAAAATGTAAAAAGTATATGTATTGAGCATGAAGTTTAAAAAAGAAAACGGAAAACTCAGATGTTTTATCAAAGACTTGTTATCTACATTGAAGGGGAGTCTTTGCTTCTTTAGAAGAATCTGGATGGCTCCATCAATAGCAAAAAATTAGCTTTTTCCAAAGTGTTTACTGTGCTTGAAAGTAAAATAAAAAACACCCAAAACATATTAGCTAAATAGAACTTAACTGTTGCCAAAAAGATCACACCCTCGAAAATAGTTTCGACTTTAAAGAACTTTACTGAAGGACTTTGCTAATAGCTTACAGTATGAGTCGCCTCGCTCTACCGCTCAGTATACACTTAGTCGGAAAGGTCAGCTTCCTCATTGTCTGTATTTTGAGCATTTGTTTGACGTTTGTGTCGTCGAACGGCATCGTAGCGCACAGCATGATGTAAAGTATGCAACCCATTGACCAGACGTCGTACATTTTCGGATTGTACTTAATACCCTGAAAAAAACAGAACATATCAAAACATCGTATAAATCAGAACAAAAAATTAGAAAATATATTTAGAAGAGATCGAACTATATAGGTAACATTAACATGCTAAATAATGATGCTCCTACCTTACTTAAGTAGTAGTTTTTCAACAAAAAATTAATAAACTCTAAAAATTTGTTTATATTCAAATCAGAATATTACAGCTTGGAGATTACTCTGCATGCAGCTAAACCATAGTGCCAAACATGTAATTTTATACATGTAGCTTTACAGATATAAAATACTGTTTAAAACATTACTGTAATTAGTTTTATTGTTAGTTTTAACTTGTAAAATTATAAACTAATTAGCCCTGTGATCTTAGTTTTAATCACTTCTGTTGAGGAGGAGGTAGTGTGATGGGTATGGAACTCCTTAGGATTTCGTTGTAAAGTCTGCTGCTTCTGTAAAGTTAAGATCATATACAGTTCAGTGTGAACTACTTGAATCCTTTGGATGACGTTTACAGTAGTTCTCCGAATCTGTAGGGGTGGATACTTCAAATTCCAGACTAATGGAATGTACAGCAGGCGTTTGGCGTTCAACGTAAATCATGACTGGAGCAGCAGGTGACAGATGTCATACATTGAACTTTAAAATGATTTTAAATATTTTACATGTTCAACCCCAGGTCATTTTGGAGTCTGGATGTTTAACTGTTCTGGCGGTTTGGACGGCAATTGATTTGGTTGAGATGAACAAACCATATAAAGTTTACCTGATGGTGGAGTACTGCTATCAACTATCTTTGACACGGTAGAGGCTTCAGACAGTATATCAAGGGATACAAGAAGGGCCCAAGGATGCTTCCCTGAGGTACTCCAGAGAGTAAGAGCTATTTGGGAACAGTTTCTTCCAGCTCTTTCAAGAGCTTTGTAGGCTTGATTGATCAAGAGCTATTATGCTTGATAATGTACAAAAAGTTTGTTGTTGGAATAATTTTAAGTTTTCGATTAAAGAAACAAGATTAGTAACAGGCTAAGTAACGGACCAGCGAGACCGAAAACCAGCAAAGCCATTCAACATTGCATAAATTTAATATTTCCTTTAAATTTAGCATCTTGCTCGGAATAAAAAAGTAGCTTTTTCTTATATTCTGGAGTTAATTACTTTAATTTATAGTCCCCAAGCCTACAAAAAACATGTGAAACCTGGTACAAAATGCCCCTGCGTCGCTTGTAGCTTGGATTAGAATATGCTGACTATGGCCGTTTAAATATGCAGTGGCAGTAAATGGGAAGCGCGGGTGAGCTTAGCCGGCGAATTCATCATACGAGAATTGTAAGCTCTGAACGTCCACCCGGGGAGAAATGTGTCCCAAATTAAGCCCTCGGGGGCCGTTGGGCATAACTGTAACAGCTCGTAAATGTCTTTAGGTGTTCTTTCTTTCAGTTGTTTGTACCGTTATTATTATTATATTGCACCCGTTTGCATTTGCTTGGAAACCTCAAGGGCAATAATTTTTCAAAAAGCAGTTCAAAACTGTGACAAGGATTGTTGCGCTTGTAACAGAGTTAAAATAAGGGGTTTTCTTTATAATTTGGATTTCAATCAAACGTTAGAGGATTTTTAGTAATGGTTAATGTTTATTTTTTAAAAGAAATAAAGGGCAAAAAACATTTTCTTAAACGAGAAACAAAGGAAAAGGAACGAGAAAATTACACTAAGTAACTACTTCTACCAACATTTTGTTATTATTCAATGTGACTGTTTTTTGAAGTTTCCATTAAAAATTGTTTGTTCTGACTGGGTCTATTTTTTCGCCTTGAAGCCGAATAGTTTTCAGAAAAGAAAAAATACTACATTTTACAGGAACCTATCTGAGAGGTCTCTATTACAGTGTGATTTTTCTTTTGTACAGACTTTTCCAATGACATGTTAAGGAATGGTTAAGAATTTTTGATTTTAAGGATTAAACTACGATGGGTACTCTATTTGGTACAAGGCCTTGTGGTAATAGTCTATAGTTAAGTACGAAGTATAAATCATATAAGGATAGGACCAAGCGTGCTCCCTTGTGAAACACCGGCTTGTACTAGACTAATTTACGAGAAGAGCATGTACTTGAATTTTTAGAAGATTACAAGGTGCCAGACATTAATGAAAGGCTGGATCAAATCTGGAAAAGCACCCAAGCTTTTTGTTTTCTGAGCATTTCTAAGTTTTGGACACGTTGTTCATTGCTCACTTTTGCGTTACACTTTTTATACTATTCTTTGATATAAGCTCAAGTCCTTGGATAGTGGATGTTGCTACTATAGGATTTAATCAGAAGGCAAAATTTGCCATCGTTCTTGTGGTAATGGTGTATAGATAAGTTAGCAGTGTAAATCGTATAAAGATGAGACCAAACGTGCTCCCTTGTGAGACACCGGCTTGTATTAGTTTAATTTACGAGGAGAGATGTGCTTGAATGTTTAGAAGATTTTACGTTTCCAGACATTATTGAAAGGCAGGATCAAATCTGGAAAAGCACCCAAGCTTTTTGTTTTCTAAGCATGTTCTAAGTTTTGGACGTGTTGTTCATTGCTCACTTTTGCGTTACACTTTTTATACTATTCTTTGATATAAGCTCAAGTCCTTGGATAGTGGATGTTGCTACTATAGGATTTAATCAGGAGACAAAATTTGTCATCGTTCTTGTGGTAATGATTTATAGATAAGTTAGGAGTGTAAATCGTATAAGGATGGGACCAAGCATGCTTCCTTGTGAGACACCAGCTCTTAATAGGCGATTTCTGGATAAAACGGACGCCTGGATAAAACCTACGAAAGCAATATAGCCATTTGTTTTTTAATTTTCAAACGGGATCAATAACTCTAAAACCTTACTGTGGATGGAAAACCAAATAGATGAGAAGGAATGATTTTTAATTCTAGGATGGGAAATAAACGTTTTTTGGGCTTGAATAATTAACAGTTGTTGAAAACTCATTGGGTTATTTATTATTAAATGTTTGGGAACAGAAAATCGACCTAACTTTCTGATTAATTTCGAGGTGTTTTTGGACCAGTTTATTTAGCATAAATGGAAATTAATCATTATTGAAGCATGGATTATTTAGTTGGACTTTATACGAGGTAGTCCAATAAATATTACGCTCATAAATAAGACTTAATTAAATGCGTTTCCGACCGTCTCTCACCTAAAAGAGACTTTACGACCCTGTCGAATCGATATCAATTTAGAAAGACTTTCAAGGATCGGGACAGATCTTTCTCAAAACTCAATTAACCTGTACTAATTTACTAATTGTCTACAGCTTAATGAGTTACTGTCCTCCTCCGCGATTGCTAATTGAGTTACCTGGAGAATCTCCGGAGCCGCGTAGGCGGCACTGCCGCAAAACGTGTCGCTGAGGATCCTTTTGTTCGTCGTCAGGTCACGACACCATCTTGAGAAGCCGAAATCGGCGATTTTCACCTGGTCTCGACTGGAAAGGAGGACGTTCTCGCACTTTAGATCCCTGTGGGCGATGTCCCTCGCGTGAAGGTACTCGACGGCGTTCACAATCTGTCTGCAATTATAACAAACAACTTTGAAAAAAAAATCTTTAAAAAAAGCTTCTCTTAATCAATTTTTCAGTGTTACAGCTACTGACTAGTGGTTTCTATTATTAACTGATTCTGGCCCGCCCATTTTCGTTGTTGCTCTTCAACCTGTGGCCTAGAAAACTACATAAATATCCAATAAGGGCAAAATTGTTTGTAAATAGGCAATGACAACCTCCTTTTTACACTGCGAGGCCAAAAACTGATAAAACTTTCCGATTTCCGCTTTGCCACTATATAATTAATTATTCAATTGGGGAAAAGAAAATTTGCTAATTGCCAATGCCCTAGCTTTTGTTTTTCATTTATGTTATACTAATATAGTACTTGGGGGATAGTTTCAAGGAATCTAACTGGCCTGTTTGTACGGTATATTGTCTGCACCCTATATTATTCATATATTTATGTAATGGGACTTTCCAAGTACTTGAAAAACTGCTAAAATGATAATTATTTTAATACCAGTAAAGAAGCGTCACTGGTCACTAAATCCGAAAATTTTGCTACCAAAAATGTGTCATTCCACTACTTCTCAGCTGGCCATGTAACAGCTCATAACTTTAACTTAGGAAAACACACTGGTATTGTATTGTTAGATGTTATAAAAGCCTCCCACTGTGGTGTGACACAACAATTTTCAATATTCGGTACAGTTTCCCCTAATACCTGGTTAGATTAGATTAGAGGAGTCGATCTGCGTACCCCAACTAGTATTGGTCTATTGTGCATCTCCATTGCTGTCCCTAACCCTACAAAACCAAACCTAACCTAATCCTACCTAATCTAACCATCCCGACCCTAGACCTAACCTTAACGTAATTCGTCCGTAACATAGTCCTACCTAACCTAACCATGATCACTCCCAGTTAACGCAAAAAAGTTGTCGCAAAAATATTTTGTGTATCTAGCCCAAAAACATTTCCAAAGCTTTTTAAAGGACTCCCGAATGAATCTTTCAGGTTCCGGCTTTTCCACTCCCAGGAGTAGATATCTGAGCATACATAAGCCTTCATGGATATGTTCTGACTTTTTCCTCGCGATATTTGCACAGGGTTGTTTCTGCCATCTGAGCCATATGCCTCTGTAGTCTGCAGTGTCGTTTAACTATTATTTTAACCCTGACACCCCAATAGGTGTCTCATCGAACTTTCCTTCGCCAATTTATCGTTGCCCCTCTGTCGTGTGTGTCCTACCCAGACAAGTTTCTCCCAGTCTGCTTTACCAGGTATCTTAATTTGAAATTTTTATCAACTCTGCATTTAGGGGTCAAGCAATTTTGGGGAGCACATACCTGATACACTCAGTTATCTACATAACAGAAAATTCTTTGTCAACATTTCTAATTTCTCTCACATGCAATGCAACAGCTGGGGTACCCCAAGGTTCAGTCTTTAAGCCTAAATTGTTTAATATATAAATAAACGATGCCAACGATTTAAAGTTGCCATGTTTACAATACCCGATGACACAGCTTATTTCATGTCCTCTTTCAAAATCAACACCATAACTAATCATCTAACGATATCTTTACAAAATTACCCTGGAAAATCACAATTAAATGTTTAGAAAGAGATTTCCTTCGTGGTCCATGGGCTTTTATAGACATCTCATATTTCCTATTGTTACAAATAGTTCAAATTGTGTATAAATTAATTGTGTATTTTTCGTTAAATTCAGTTTAATTCTCAGTGACATAAAACATTTGTCCATAAAGAGTCTAGATTGCCAATAGTTGGTCCAGGCTGGACTCCAAACCATTACACGAAGTAGCGAGGTTTTGCAAAGTTTCGGAGGTCTGCAATTTGTTGAACATCAGCAGTTTGATCACCATCGATCCAGGTCCGCCTGTTCTCGCCGTGTGTCTCGGATTTTGTCGACTTACCAGGATATCAAGGACAAGGAAAATTCCATTAAAAGGGAAAAAATCTCATTTTAAAACAGCAAAAACAACTTTTACTTTTTACAATGTTAAACATAATTTCATATTAAGAACAAAATATACAAAGTAGAAAGGAATTCTGTATGCTATTCGTAAATTGTTTGTAAACAATTTTATTTCCAAAAATAATACTTCAAAAACAAAATAAACCAACTGTTTACGTGATACATATATAATTTCGTTCTGGGGGCGAAAGCAGGCTTATGTGGAGTTTACTGACTCCCTGAATTCTGGGTGCCGGAGTTGACATTTCTAAATGCCACCTCATTGTGTGTACAGGGGCCTAAAACTTTACTCTCCCGGTGTTTAATTAGTGCAGTGTTACAACATCAACATTAATAAAAAATGGAAAAAAGAAAAAACTAGTTGTTGGTTTTGTAGTAATTAAATGTTTTAAATTGCCAACTATAGAGTCCTGGATTATAAGATCAAGTTGCAAACATATTATAAGTTATAAATTTACTTATAAAAAGTTGAAATATAAATTTATATTTAATAATATAATTTTCCTAGCCAACATATTTTTTATTATTGGTCATTTTATCAGTAGTTGCCACCTTGCTGAAATAATGATCTTTGGGCCACCGCAGTGCGGTGATTATGTTTGGGTTTCTGCATTAGACCTGTTGTAGGTCAAATTTAACCTTGTTGGCGATACAAAAATCAATAAAATAATATACAGGGTGTCCTTTTTAGATCGCCCGGCTGAATTTCTATTGAACCAATGACGCTATCGAAAAAATAAAAAAATACGCCTTTAATATTTTTTAGTCTAGTTTCAAATTTTTACCTTTTTTTGGAAAAAAATTATACAGGGTACCACAGGCCCAGTTCAATTTTAAAATTTCAAATACGACTTTATACATCCTGACACCCTGATGTATACCGTATACATCATTTTAAAGGATTTTTTACGCCGAAAACAACTGTAATGGGATTTTAAATTGGTCAAAAATGACAAAGTCTTGGCAAGAGTTTAAAAAATCCCATTCGTTTGTTTTTAATTCCAATAACATGCTTCGTCAGTAAAGTATACATTTATTGCCTTTAACGTTTACATTCTGTCATTGTTTGTCAAACTCGCATTAAGAAAGAAAATCTTAATTCCTGGAAGTAAATAAATTTTACATTATTACTTATCCGTTACATTTAGTATGCCATTCAAAATGAACCGAAGAGCACATTTTCCCGACCAACAGCGAGTTGATATGTACGACTGCTTTTCTGATATTGATGGTAATGCGCGACGTTCAGTCGAGTCCTAGAAATTTTCTGATAGCTCCAGAGTAACCCCAAAACGTTTATTTGTATTGCTCGCAGTATGAGGAGATACGGATCAGTTGCTGTTCCATCATCAAGACAAAGGCAGGTAATTTCGACGGGAGCTGAATATTTTACTGTATATTTGCGAAAATCCGAATTCCTCTCTCCGAAATGTTGGAAGAGTTTTATGTTATCCAAAAAATAAAATTAGATGTACTCCGGATTTAGAATTTTTAGGCCGTATCGCTCTCATCTTGTCCAGGGACTTCGGGACTTTGATTACGACAGGCGTCTAACATTCCTTGCACAGATTAGGGAGGCTGAAGAAAACGTTCTTCCATATATCCTATGGACTGATGAGTCCAAGTTAACCTCTAATGGCATACTAAACCATTGGAATTTTCCAACATGGGCAGAGGAAAATCCTAGAATTTCGTACTTTTGTCATCATCAGGTGGTCCAAAGTATCAACATTTGGTGTGGACTTCTCGGGTATAAATTAATTGGGCCTTATTTCTACGAAAAAAGTTTAAATGGTACTCAGTTCAATTTTTTTAGGGAGGTTTACCAACACTCTATATGATGTTCCTCTGCAACCACGACAAAGAATGATTCTCTAGCTCGGTGGATGCCCCGCACATAATTTTTTGCAGGTGAGACGTTATTTGAATCGTCACTTCCAGGATAGGTGGATGGTCCGATCTGTTGGCCTCCTCGGCACCCGATTTAGCTCCACTTGACTATTTTCTGTGGGGCCATTTAAAAAAAAGTGTCTAGCCAATCATAACCCAGCAACCTCAGTTGAACAATGGACCAAAGGAGAGAAATTGCTTGTTAATCCATCTCCGCTGGCTCTATCGCTCTGAGCACCGGGGAAGGGTGATTAAAAAAAGCAAATTTTTGCATCTTTTCGCAAGTAGGCAGTTCGAACATGAAATGTGACTAATAAATAACAAACCATATGACTGTTTTTTCCCAAACTTTTTGCCATGACTTTGTAATTTTTTGAACAATATAAAATCCGATTACACCATTGTTTTCATCATAAAAAATCTTTAAAATGATGTGTCAGGATGTATAGGGTTGTATTTGAAATTTTGTCGTTGAACTGGCCTGAGGTACCCTGTATAATTTTTCTCCAAAAAAGTAAAATTTGAAACTAGACTAACAAATATTAAATTTGTATTTTTTAAATTTTGATATCGTCATTGGTTCAAGAAAAAGTAAGCCTGGCCATCTAAAAAGGATACCCTGTATACAGGGTGTCCCAGTTCCTTCTGACGAAACTCAGGGAATCGATTCTACTCTTCATTTGGAGCAAAAAATGCCCAGGAGAAAATTTTCGGAAAGTTCTCTATTTTGAAGATATTCGTTAATTTAGGTTTTTTCAATTTTTCACTACCTTACCACATAAAATCGCTTACAACTTCCAAAATGTTGAGAGTACAACAAATCCAATTACACCATTTGAAAGAACCCTAAATTTGCTGCAAGATACTTCTATTTGCAATAATCTGAATGACATAAAATGTTAGCCAATATCAGTTGGAACATATTACAATTACAAAATTTAAAATTTTGGTCATGATTGCACGTTCTGCTGAGGTTACAAAAAAATATCTACAACTTGTCAAATTTCACGAAAACTTCTTCATCTAATATGCTTTACGTTGATATATCCAGGTTTTTAAATAACGTTCTAGCAGAGTTAAAAAATCAACGTAAAGCATATTAGATGAAGGTTTTGTGAAATTTGACAAGTTGTAGGTATTTTTTTTGTAACCTCAGTAGAAGGTGCAATCATGACCAAAATTTTAAATTTTGTAATTTAGACATGTTTCAGCCGATAATAGCTAACATTTTATGTCATTCACATTATTGCAAATAGAAGTATCTTACAGCAAATTTAGCGTTCTTTCAAATGGTGTAATTGGATTTGTTGTAGTCTCAACATTTTGGAAGTTTTAAGCGTTTTTATGTGGTAAGGTAGTGAAAAGTTGAAAAATCCTAAATTGACGAATATCTTCAAAATAGAGAACTTTCCGAAAATTTTCTCCTGAGCATTTTTTGCTCCAAACGAAGAATAGAATCGATTCCCTGAGTTTCGTCAGAAGGAACTGGGAAACCCTGTATAGAAAAAATCTTTCTTTAATGTTTAAATTCATTTTAATTGTATAATTTTCATTTTTGGAATATTATCACATTATTATTTGTAATAAATATACCAACCGGAATTTCTGCAGTATAGAAAACATTAACAATATTTCATGCATTATAGCAAGGATTTGATGGATCATTGAGATTCAAATTACCCTTACAGGCTTGCAAAACAACTATGCTAATTTTCTCATTGTTTTATATTTACAACGGGAGAGAGCTAAGAATTATTCATTTGTTATATCGAGATCTGGCATAAACTTTAAACAAAACAGAATCTTAAAGGGTCGAGATTGGCCGGTCTATGTTTTGAATTGGTGTCAAAATCGAATAATTTCAGAGCTTCTACAACTCCGCAAATATTAATGTCGATAACATAAAGGTATTCCAGATATAAAATTTAAGACATTACATCAACTGTTTTAAAAATGTGAATTGATTGGTCTTCAATTTGAAGATTTATGGTAGATTACATTGGTCTTTCGGTTTATGTTCTTGTAAAACAATTGTACAGGAAGATTTGTCTACATTTTTATTTATCATGTTTAATATTTTTCCACATGTTTGAATGGCAAATGACAGCAACCCATTTTTTATTGATGAAGGTAGAAGATATAGGATAGAAATTTCTTTATAAGTGCTCGAAAGGTGTTATTTTATTAAATAAAACATTACAAAAATGGAGTTTTTGAATTTTCCATGTTTCAAAGTTTAACATTCACTGACTTTGAAACATCTCCGCGGTGAGACGCGTGTGATGCCATTTGTCAAGAGAAACCACCTTATCTTTTGCGTCTCTTTTTTATGGTGGATGCCGTTGTATGGGATTAAAGGGAAAATCATATCAGATCTACGCGGCCGGAGAGATTAGGCCATTAGTTAACGTCAAGTCGCTCACAATTTCTATTTTAAAGAGAAAAGGCCCAGGGAATGAAGATCCTCCCTTTGTCTGTTTGACCATCAATGCGTGAAATCTGGACAGTGGCTCTGATTTGACCACCGTCTCGTTTCCTGTCGTTTTGTAGAAACTAGACGTCGGAGGACTACCAATAAAAGCGTATCTCAAATAGACAAAATACAATAAGTTCGAGCAGCAAATATTTTTAACCGTAATCGTAACGTCCATTTTCGTTGTTTAACGTGTCTCAAATGATGTTGGCTTTATGGCAAAAATAGGCAAACTGATCTTAGAAGAAAGTATAATTTTTCATAACCATAGTTTATTCAAATTATGTACTCGGATTTACTTCTTCAGATCACCTTATTTTTTCCTCTTCTTTCTCTTTTTCACATTTAAAATATTTTAGGTGAGTGGTATGTTTACTACTTTTTTAAAACTCTCATTGTACATATTATGACCCGAAAGAATGATTTTAAGATATTGGCAGAAAGTGCATGCGGTTTCTTTCGTTTTTTACTTATTTTCTTTTATACTTATACTTCTGTTTTCGTTGTTTAAACTTTGTGTCTTCTGTACAGGAGCTACTATATTATTTCTTTTTTATCAGGCCTAAGACTTTTTAAATTAATAATTAATTCTATCCAATACCGGAACACTTGTCAATTTAAATATAGCATTCAATGGAGACCTCCACCAAATTTGACAGTAATTGTAACCATTACACATACTAGAAATTTTATATAAAAAAATAATCATCTTAGACAGAAGAAAGTTTGTTCATATTATGTTCCTTTGTCATTGTTTCCTAACAAAAATATGGGCACTAGGATACTTATTGGGTCTTCTTATACAGGGATTAGTTGAATTACTCAAACACGTTCGGCATTGCGCCATCTTCAGTGAGGAAACGCCTGAGCCAGTTTAGGTAATTCAATTAACCCGCGAATGTAAACGGACCCAATAATTAACTAAGTGCCGGTTCAACATAGTCTAGCTTTGCTTAAATTGCCTAATGGCTCTAGAAGAACCCAGCAAGGATGATAACTTGAGATGGGTTTCGGGACATGAAGGTTAGAAGGAAACAAACAAGCTGATCAACTATGAGACCAAACATCAACTAGGCATAAAATGGCATGATAAAACCCAAGCACTGGGCTGTACATAAGCCAGCGAGGCAACCTAAGAGAGAGTATAAGCATGATGATAGGATTAAACTTGGGTCAAATGAATTTTATTTTTTCGGAGTTTACTTCTTACAGTGAGACCAACTTCGGACTTCATGTGTAGAGGTTTACAGGAGTTTATAAGGGCGAAAATTAAGGGGCATGATTTTACACACTTTCGGATAGCCAGGTAGCTATAAAAGCACTAAATGCGTATAGCTTATATATCTAAACTAGCCTGGAAGTGCCTAATGGTACTTGGAGAACATTACCCTTGATGTGTGCTTTGGGCTGGGTTGTAGGAAAGGTACAGACGGAAATGAACAGGCTGACCAACTAGCAAAAGAGCCCTCCACCCATAGAACTGGACCCACAGCTAGAAAGGCAGAAGAAGTGCTAGAGATGAAGTTGGAAAAATGGCTTAAGACAGAAGAACCAACGCACTGGATAAAAACACCAGGAATGAGGCGAACTAAGAGAGTCAAAAATCGTTTAGTGAGAAAAAGCACACTTTCTACGGTACGGTTTCTCATTAAAGTTGGGGCAATGCCGAAACACGTTTAAATCGTTAACAAACCCGCGAGTGAAGACGGACCCAATAAGTGACCCAGCGATGGTTTAGCATCAAGAGTTCACCGACTCGCAGACCAAAACCCAGCATCACAATATTTAAATTATGTACTAGAATATACTTCTTAACTCATTATTTCATCCTTTTCCTTCCTATTTTTTCATGTATAAAATATTTTAGGTGGGCGGTACGTTTTCTACTTGTGTGAATATTGGAAAAGCTTATATCACAAAAGCATTGGCAAAAGTTTTTAACTTTGTAATATTAATTCACCCAGAGAGGTATAACGATGATGGCATGTATGTACAGATAAACCATGCTCCTCCTTGAACTGTTTAAATAGGTTCCTAGGCAAAAATAATATATCAAAAGTAATAAAATTGAAGATTACCAGGACAATTGCCGATTGTAAGTTTCAATTTAAGTAAAGCATACAATGGAAACCAGCACCAAATTTCCATGTATTGTTCAATTATGTTATTTAGCCCTACTAAAATGTATTAGTTTATACAAATAGAGTTGATTAAAAAATAATTTCTAGCATATTAGTCTATAAACAATTCAAGAAAATATGGAAACCTCCACCAAATTTCCATGTATTGTTCAATTATGTATTATTTTGCTCGGCTAAAATGTATTAGTTTGTACAAATAGAGTTGATTAAAAAATAATTTCTATCAGACTAGTGTATAAATAATTCAAGTAAATGTAATCAATTAATTAACCAAGACAAAGATGGATGCACTGAAACCTAATATTTGTGTTACCAAGTTTGGGTGGTAGAAGACCGTTACCAATGAATTTTTTATCAAATTTTTATGTAAAAAAAGAGGGGAGGACGTATTACATGAAAGTTTAACTAAGGGTAACTATATTAATATTTCACCGGTACTATTGATTATTTACCTGAAGAAGTGTTTGGCTCTCGTTTCCGTGAAAGAGCCCTTGTTCCGTATGTGATCGAGGAGATCGCCCCTTTCGCAGAAATCCATGAACATGTAGACCTGGTCCTCGAGCTCGAACACATTGTAGACGGTGACTATGTTCGGGTGCCTTATCGTCTTGACTATGCTTACCTCCCTCGGGAGGAATTTCGTGACGAAGTCCCTCGAAGCCCGCTTCTTATTGATGACTTTGCAAGCGAGACGCTGCGTGTAGCCGAGCTCTGTTGCTCTGAATGCAACTCGCACCTAAAAAAGGAAACAAACGAAATTATATTCTGGGGATATTAATTAGATTTTTATTTATACTACAATTCCTCCTACAATGTCCTTCTGGTAAAGTTCAATGATTGGTCTGGTTTTTAGCCTCCTTTACTCTACTCCTAGTGAGTCAAAGGTCACTCATTCCATTAATTGAAAAATTGCAGAAACAGCCTAATAGCCTAACTCTAGAGTAAAAAAATCACGCCAACTTTTCTGTTAATGCAAAACAGATTAGTTTCCTTATGAATATATCTGTTTTTGAAAGATCAGAGGGAATCGTTAAGCAGCGGGTACTTGTGCCAAATTTATCGAGGTCGGCGAATCCGATAGGCTTGCCAAGCCCACCATGAAAGAACTATAGTTTTATTTTTAACCATAAACTTAAAATTGTTAGTTTTTCAGTTTAAAGTTCTCAAAAATCTTTTGTTGGTGTTTTTAAATGGTTGGCAAGCCAGACACTATCAATCAATGGGTCCGTCTATTCTCGCTTTTTTTACCCGTGAACCAACACGGTCCTAATGGATGTAACTAATACGTTACCGTCAAGATTAAGTAGTTGCCATGTCTTCGAAACTCAGAAGGCTTTCCGATTGATTTATATCACTCTTGTTTTGAATGGGGTCAGTTCAAAAATTAATCTAACCGTCATATCAATCTTTTCTCTGGTTATAATTATTATATGTACATAAATATATAAATTTCATCTAAACAATTAACAAAAATCTAACACTGCTTAAAATATATTGTTTATTCACTTACACTTAAACACTAGTAAAAACTATATATTCTAGAAATTTTATTTTCTTACACCTATGGGTAAATAATACACACAAAAACTAATAAATAATTAAATCTTTATTACAAAAGTAAATGCAATACCTATTTTTATTCCACTTTTTGTTATATTTTGTTCTTATACCCCCATTAGGCCATTGAAGCTGTTGCGTTTTCTAGTATAGCTTTATTTGTTTTGTGTTTACCACATTATTACTTTTTTTTTTGCTAGGGGAATGGGCTAAAAATGCAAGGGGATGAGGAAGCGGCCAAGAGTCTGATGTTCTAATCACTTAGCTACTGGTCAGAAATATAATATTTTAATAAGATAAAAAAAAGATGCAAACTCAAGTGACTTTGGTGTAGTGTTAGATTTATTTTAAAAATATCCTAAATTTAAGCAAAATACTACTATCAAGACCTCAATACTGAATGCAATATTTTTCATTTGAATGAAGATTTATACCAATTTATACTATTTTATTCTGGTAGGCCCATGATAATGAGAGATGAGAAAAAAATAGCTAGATTGGAACATTCTGCCAATTATAAACTGCTAATTCTCTTCTTTTCTTATGAAGGATTTGACTCAAAAGGTGGAGGTGAGCGGTGGAGTAAAGCAAGGCTGCCTGCTGAGTCCGCTTCTGTTTTCCCTATAATCAAATGACTTAGAGGAAGAATTTCAATGTGGAGTCAAGATGATCTAGTGCTTGTGTTGGAATCCGGGGCATTTACAAATAAATAATCGACCTACTCAAGCAATAGTAGAAGTGGAGACTGTAAATTTGGAAAAGTACAAAATCATTTTGCAGAATGGGGGCTGATGAGCAGCTGCAGAATAATGAACTGGCCATACTGTGTTGATATAGTAAATGAATATCAATATTTGGGTGTGTTGCTGACTCCATGGTTATCCTTCAAAAAGCTTGTGAAAGTTTGCACTTAACTTACAATAGTATGAAGAGGTCCTTTGGAGACAGGGGCATATCTTTAATGGCAAAATTGGCAATTTACTAGTCTTGGGGTTTCGAGGAGATGTGATATGTCTCTATAGATCTCCCGAAGCAACCACAGGATCGGGGCTAGAGGATAGTACAGCTGAGTCATCGACAAAAGATGCTAGGAGGATGGTATATGTAATGGGAACATCTGCACTATAAAGGATGGATTGATTTGAGCACACTGCCCTGCAAAATTCCTCCGGCCAGAGAACTATTCGGGGTAATCTTACCCTTGCCAGACCCACTCTGTTAGGTAAGAGTGGAGGATTAAGAAGAGGACATTTGGAAGGCAACATTTAAATTTGTATAGGAATGGAAATGATATACTGGACCCCTAATGTTGTTTTGAAAATGCAATCAAATGAATAAATGAGCCTGGTTGTTTTTGTTAAAATTAAAACTTTACATGTAAAACTATAAAATGATCTCTACTTTTCTTTGCTTTTCACTAATTCTTTACGTTCAGATGTCCTTCTTAATTGAGCTCGTTCGAGAAGCTTATCACTTATTTTAGTGTATTTTCCCATTCTTGACTTATGTGCTCAGTGTGGTAATCCATATACTCTACATAACTCATCTCTCAGCTTGAATCTATTTAGGCACTCATTGAATCCTCCTAGATACTGGCTAAAAAATCCAATATTACTCAATTTGCCTTTTTCCTCTCCTGGACTGTTTGTAAGAACTTAAAGGTGTTTGTATTTCTCAGATTCAACCCATCTTTCATTCCATTTTTCTTCTGCCTGCTCCTGGACTATTTGCTTACCTTGTTTTATCAATTTTTTGCCCATTTTCCGTCTTTTTCAATTTCTCATTCTAGTAGTTGCATTTTCTTTTTCTGATACAGGAGACATCTTATTTTGACTACCTGATTAATAGGCATTTCTAATGACATAATTTAGAGAGCATCTTTTGATCTTGTACTGTAAGCATTTTTTTCCTTTTTTAAACTAGGGTTTGCAAATACCAGAGGTCATATCAACCCTTTGGAGGCTGGTGTTTTGGTAAAAAAATTTGTAAGCATATAGGGGTCAAATGTAGGGCTATTGAATAATGAACACCTAAACTGTTGAAGCCACTGATGCCCCTGTTTTTAATTTTTCTGTGTGTAACACTTTGAGCTTTTGTTTTTACAGTTTAATTTCTTATACTATAGGGTGGAACCAAATAAAGCTATAAAAAGTAACACATTTTTATAGACTATTTAAAGCTCTTTCTTTCGTCCAGCTCCCATTTAGATCTGACATTTTGCAATTTGCAGAATGCCATCATTTCTCTTATTACTCCTCCTTTTTTCATTGTTGTTTTATATACTAATTTATCCTGTGATGATATATGAACCTCACAGGATAAATTAAAATATAAACGTTAAACCATTGTAATGTAATACTGGATGACTCTTTGAACGGCTATGGCTACGGAAAAATAAATGCAGTCTTCTCTGTATATTACAAAACTATTGTTAATAATATGATTCTTACAAAGGAAAGCATTTTTAGAATTAGCATAAACAACATACAACATTGTTAACATCTAAATATTATAATATTATACTATACAATAGTTTATTGTATATACATATATATTTAGTATGCAAAAGAAAAAAAAAAAAAAATGGGAGGCCACAGAAGCAGGCTTAACACTTGTAGCAGACTCTAAATGACTCAGGCATTGGTGACTTGATTTAGGTCTAACGACATCTGACTAAAGGACCTAGGCTGGAACAATTCCACAAAAATCTCATCTTATACATCACAAACATAACCACCCACTAAAATTAGGAAGCTAACTCCCAGTATGCAAAACATCACATGCCCGACTGGCCATGTTAAAAGATGTTTTCACACATTTCAGATACACATCATCATCAACATGTATAATGTACACAATATATATAAATCGATTATGTTCTTTGTTATTGACAAGACAGTAATAAAACTTGACTGTTCAAAATAGCAATTTTAAGAAACCAATGCCAACTTTTCCCAATAACAAAGAAAAGAATTATAAAGAAGAAAAGACAGAAATAAATAATAATGCTTTCTCGACTGTTAAGATTATCCAACTGTAGTTCCATGTGAGTTCATTGTTACACTGCCATTTGAAATAATTGACTTTTTAAATTTAGAGAAATGCATTTTGGTATTTAGCTATTTTGTTATTTTACAAAGTTACCATTAATTCTTGAACCAGTGGTTTTACAATATATTATATTATAGATACCAATAATGACATAAAATAAATACAGTAAATATTTAATTTACCTTACAGTAAGAGCCTTCACCAATTGTCTTTCCGAGTTTAAAGCCTCTTTTGTTTAGTATTGCGTTGATCGACTCTCCGAAGGCGCCTGGAATCTTTACGACAGAGCAATGTCCAGTCGAACCAGCCTGAAGCAGCCTCTCAACACCTGACTCCCGCTTAAGCGGGCTCCTCACTGCTCTCATATCCTCATCAATACCTCCCTCAATCCCTGAATCTTCTCGTGTAAATAACACCGTTGTAAACTTTGAATTTTATGCTAATAGTACTTTATAACATTTATAATTTCATGAGGTTGATGTATGGTTACCATGGTTAATTTATAAAATTGTTTGTTGTTAACCATTTTGTTTTTATATGTAATTGAAAATTGACTATTATTATTGTCCATTTATATTTTTAAATCTTTTTACATTGAAAGGAGAGTTCTAAAAAATAAAATGTACAAAAAAAAATCGTTTATTTCACCTTTAATTTAATGTACATTATTTACACTATAAAATAAAATTGTTATTCTTATTAGTTTCATTAAATTATCAATAATTTACATTCCTTTCCTTTTAGCCTTCAGTTTTGTTCCGATAGAAGCTCCCTTTTTAGCTGCTGTTAAAATCTTCTTCATCTGGGCCATCGATTTCATCCTTTTCCTAAATTACATAAATAAATATATATTTGTAAAATGTCATAGTGATGAACATAAGATTTTGTCATATTCAGTGGTGAGTTTATTGTAGTTTAGAAACACACAGAGGGGACAAAATGAACAAAATAACACACAGACGAACCACTGTCAAAGAAATGTCAAAACACACTCAACACAATATTTATACATTTTACTTAATTATTTAAAAATATAATTATATAGTACCTCTTGTTAAGATTGTCCCTTCGTAAGGGGATGTAAGCGTAAGGATCGGGCAATCCTTTCTTCTTGACGTCACCCTTGGCTTTCTTAGCCCGGTATTCCTGACCGGTCTTCATTTGAGGCCCTTTGTTGCCCTTCTTGCGGCTTGCTTTGCTGCTTCCTCTGCTGATTACCGAACTGGCTTTGTTTAAAGGTCTGTGGATGCCCTTGCCACCAGCTGGAAAATTGTTTTTTTTTTTTTTTTTTTTTTTTAGTCAAAGAAAATTAATTCCATTGTAAAATACGCTACCTTGGTATTTGTTAGGCGGAGCGGATGAGTTATAACTGCTTACGCTTCGTGCCCTTTTTTTTCCAATTAAAGTTTCACCACCGACTGTCATCCAATCATCATCCGATTCTTCATAATCGTCTTCTGAAATTTTTTTAAAATAAAAGTATTTTTTAACATAGTTGAATTTGAAGACTTCATGTTTCCAGCAGGTCGATAATCTAGTTCATCGTTATAGTTGAATTTGTTATTTACCTGAATTTTCCAGGCCAGGGATTGCTGGTTTCTTCTTCTTCTTCATTCTAGTTTCCCCTTCATCGTCATCCTGATTATCACGGTCTTCCGTGATTATAAGACGACCGTCCGGTGCCATCTTGAAAGGTTCGGGTTTCTTCTTTTTAGGTAAAGAATCCGGCATATTTGACATTGTCGAAGGATGAGTGCCTAAACAATAATACAATTTATATGCAGAAAAGGTATTAAAACTCAATACCACCAGACTATAGGCTATACATCTGAACTTTGTATATAAAAAAGTTTTAAATCCTGCTTAATTAAATAAAATAAATTTAATTAAGTAACCTGTGATTTTCTTAGCAGTGCTAATATCAGTGAAATCAACAATATCGTCAGCATCTTCAGTAATCCATGTCTTCGCCTTTCTCCTCTTCCTTTTTTCAGTCTTGCTCATTTTGTCATCATTTTCTTCTTCGCCATCTATGTCAGAATCAGATTCAGCAAGAATTTCCTCAATGCTGAAAAAGAAGAAATAAAAAGTTAATACAAATATTAAGCATTTAATATGTAATTCTTAACCTTTTTTTATAATAATTTAAAATATATTTCTACATAACATACCTTCTATGTTTGGCTGCAACTGAAAAAGTTGAGTATGCGTCATCTTCCCCGCTTCCTCTGGATTCCCTTTCTTCCTTACGACGTCTCATTTTCCTGTCGTGAAGCTTACCCAAGTTGCGCACTCTTACTTTAAGCACTTCGTCCCTGTCGGGGATGTGCTTTTGCAATGTTGCTGCTCCAAACCATCTGACAAGACGCGAGAGTAAATCTCTCGTCTTGATCCTGTTGTGACGCTTGCAATCTTCTGACATGTTGCTGAACATTTGCATCTGGAAAATATTTTAAAGTAATATTACATCAGCGACGGCAGTTTTGATTGATTTTTACCAATTTTGGAATATATCGTTCAATCTTGTCTCTTGGAAATGAAGTTATGTACACTTTGATAAAAGACATGGCAGATGCGACTATCTCCCGAGTCGAGCAGACTGCCAATAGGCCGACATTATATAAAATCTGTTCTTCAATCTCTTCTGACATGGAATCTAAAAAAACAACAACAGACAGTTTAAAAATATAATTTAAATTATATGCGATTCGTATACCTTTGCAACGGTGAAAAAGTGCCGCTAATGCTAGTAATGAACATGAAATTAAAATGGGAGATCTGTTGAGCCCTGCCATAACAATATGGAGATAACTGTCCAGCTGCATATTCGTATAAATGTGTTCTAGAATTGCGTATGCAGTTAACCGGCATTTACTGTTTATATCTTTAAGACACAAAATCGTCTCAGGGAGAATGACTTCCATCAAATTCACATTACTTTCATTATCAGAATGTTTCAGTAGTTCCAATATGCATTTCAATCTTGACTAAAATTTAAATTATAGCAATTAAAATAAAAAAATCTATATTTCTTCAATAAAGCAGTTTTACTGTACTTACTCCTTTGCTATTTACATTGGCTTTGGAAAATGAATTCAACAAAAGTTCCTTTATTTTATCAATATTTGTGTTGAGAAATTCTCGACATCCTCCATCTTCTGATATAAAAATCTCCTCTAGCAGTCTAGACATATTTATTATTATTGTTATTTAAATAATATACTTAGATAAGCTGATATTATATGTAATTAAGTACACAGTACTACAGAATTATTATATACTATAAATCCAGAAATAATAGTAATTCACATGTTGGCGTCCTAGGAAATGAAAATGTGGACAAGACGGTGAAAAGAGCAGCAGCGCCAATTTGTCCAGCAGACATTAAGAAAAAAAAAAAAATATGAGCTATCTAGAATTAGCAAAGCCACTGGACTGAATTGACTGAAAGATTAAACACTGGACTGAATTGACTGAAAGATTAAAAAATACAACAGGTTCAGTCAAATCGAGGCCTGTGGAGAAAATGACAAAAAAGGAAAGAACTATCTTAATAGGCCTCATTCGTCTCACACCTGGCCTTCTTCTGGTGGGCTGACAACAAGTGTGCCCTGAATGTAACGAGCAGGTGACAATTCACTAGTGGACTGTTGCTATATCTATCAGAGATATAACATAAATGATCTAGTATATGTATCATTTATGTTCACAGTAATTCTTGGAATATATATATATTTGTTATTTTTATGTATACGTGTTTATTTTCTCCTATTTCACCTTGAGTGTTAGGTTTGAATACCACTGTCATTTGACGCCTTCCCTTCAACCAAAAATATTTTTCATTTTTGTACCTGGCTAATATAAGAATCTAAACTGTAATCTTTCAGGTAAACTTTAATTTTTCATATAAAAATATACAAAAAATCAAATTATAATTTTCAATTAATTAAGGATATTGGTTGAGATAAAAAAGTCAGTGTCACAAGTGGGATTTGAACCCATGACCAAGGGAAAATTCAGAAGGTGGGGTTGAGATGGGAGGTTGGTGTCCGTGTGGATCGAGGTCACGGTAGCTCAAGTGGTAGAGCAGCGGCGTATTTAGCTGAAGGTCATGGGTTCGGATGTCATTTGTGATACTGACTTTTTTATCTCAACCAAAAACCTTAATTAACTAAAAAGAATTTATTTGGTCAAGCGGACCATGAAACCTAATAAAAAAAAAAAATAATAAAATTAAAAAAAAAATATATTGCTAAATGCCTTACCAGTCATAATATAATGGTAAATAAAAAGGTATTGCCTGATTCTTCATTACTCAAATCCCTCAACTATGCCCGTCACTAGATGATATTATTTATGTGAGATAACATATTAATATATAAAATAAGCTTAATATTTTTTAAACCATATCAACTTTACTACCTTCATAACATGAACATTTTTCCCACTTATTGACGTTATCTCTGTTGTCTAAATTTTAATTTTATTCTAAACAAAATATTTCCATTAGAACTAAACTGTTAAATTAAAAATAATTTTGAAGTGAATCGAGATCGTCAATTCCAAACTTATGTACCTGTAAAATTTCTTTTGTTCGGAAGTCCCTCTATTCACTGACAGTTCTTTTACTATGAGAGTGTAGAGCTTTGATATGTCTTCAACGTTTTGATAGACTATAAGGGCTCTTAAGAGGTCGATGGCGTACTCTTTGAGAGAAGCCTCAGTTTCTGACGATTCGACTTTCTTCATTGCTAAGTCGAATTTTTCTTTTCTTAAATTCTGATCGGCAATCTTCAAGTAAATCTAAAAACAACGATAGAATAATAAAAATCTACGAATAGATTTTAATTGTCTCAGTTTTACCTTTATTGTCTCCAATGAGGCAAGCCTGGCTCCTTCTTCATCTGTGCCTGACACTTTGGTCGTGTAAATGTTGAAAAGTATTGGGAGGTAATTTTTAGCGAACCTTGCCAATGTTGCAATATCATCTTCACGCTTGTTCTCAACAGCATAGTTGATGAGGTGGCGAAGCGTTGAAAGTATAAAAAGCCTCAGGTCTTTCCTCGAAGTGAGCACACCCCCAAGAGCTTTAGCAATGCCCTAAAAATAAATTTTAATTATTACAATTCACTTACATCGTTTTAAAATACTCACGGGGAATGATTCGGTGATGTCTGATGGTTGTTTAGAAAAACTTGGCAGAAGTGACCAAATCTGTGATTGAAGTAAGTCATAACTTAAAGAACCTACTTGGTCATTTGCAGCTTTTAATCTATCTGATTCATTCCTGAAAATTTTAAATAAAACATTAATTATACAATGAATAATGAAAAATGACAAAACAAATTACTTTGAAGCAGTAGCCAATGATAAGAAATTGTCAACAAAGCATTTAAGTGTTGATGCTTTTATGTTGTCTTTCAAAACAGGTAGCAACCAACTTCTTTTAAATTCCCTGTTGCCGTCGCCTGGTTTGATTTGAAGAGGGATCGCTTCTATAACAACCTGTGGCCCCAGTGCACGTACTGCGCTTCCGATTGCATTTTCCAACTCATTCATAAAAGTCACCTGGTCGCTGTCTCTTAGGTCAGCCAACATTTTCAGCATTTCCGTTAACAATTTGCCTCCTTGCTCACCACACGCCTGTATATATATAAAAAAAATTATACCTGATCTTTTATAAAAATAATTTAAAAAAATAAATAAAAACAAACGTTAAAAAGCGCAGATATCAAATGGAGTATGTGGTTGTAAAATGTGTGGTACTGGTAAGAAAGGCAAGACTGAACGATTTCAACTACTGAAGTTATGTTTTCATTCATTATGCCGTGATCCCTGATGGCAGTACCGACACAATGGGCTGTAACGGACTGCAGCGTGTGCGTCACAGCGGCTACAGTTTCAATCCTCCCACAGCTGTACAAGTTAGTGCAAGTCTTGTAAAATTTTGGCAAGTTTGCAGTGCACAGTTGAATATCGGATCTAAAACAAAATAAAATAAAATAAGTGTTAACTCGGAGGGTTTGTAATTTTTATTGCAAAAATTAAACATGCTTTGATAAATTGATGTGCGCTTCTTGAAGAACGACAAGCCATGCTTGCGTCGGCTGTGTGTCAGTTGGTGGAGGTTGATAATCATACAACGCGTTGATCAATCTAGCGTTCATCTGGACTGTCATGTTCTGAGGGTTGTTTGAAAATAAGTTATGAAGCGCAGCCAAACTGCAAGAAGTCACTAAGACGTTGTTTAACGTCATAATTTTCAAAATTGCTTCACAGCAGACCTATGAAAGATGTTTTTGTTTAAAGAAAAATTCCCTATAAGACAATAAAACTAATTACCTTAAGATCTTTTTTGAGAAATGTATGCATGATTTCTTTAAGCAGTGTCAACATGTGTAAAGTCGTCGTCATTCCTCCAGTTGCCACTGATTCAACTAGTTCTGTACAATGTTTTGCGATTACATTCAGACCAGAGGGTGTAATTTTACTCTTTACACAGATAACTGTTATCCCGTGCTGTGCAGCTTTTCTGATCTAAGGAAAAACAAATATGTAATTTTTGTTTTTGTTTTAATAATTGAAAAGCAAATTACATACCTTGGGTTTAGAAAAAGTCACAAATGCCAAAACAGAATTCAAAATGTTAATTGTCGATGGGTTATTCCAAACAGCAGCTTCTTGTACTCTCAGCAGCACACAAAGACAACCAATGATCTTAAAAATAAAGTTGTTATTAAAAAATAATAATGCTATTGTATTGGATTGTCCAGAAAATAATGCAGGTTTATGGTTATAAAATAAAATCAATTAAATAAATGATCTTAATTTTTTTTATTAATTAAAAAAATATTCTCACACTTCTCCCAACGTGTTGGTAACTTCTCTATACCCTCTGAATTTTGAGTCTTTATTATTAACAAATACTGTAAACGCATTTTCTAACAATGTTTGATCAATAATTTTTTTTGTTTTGTAAAACATTGTCCAGGTGTCAGAAAAAAATGGTAGTCAAAAGGTGTGAGGTGACCGGTAGCTTCAATTTCTTTCAAATGGAAATAAATTTTTTATTTACCCTGCAAAAACTGTGAAATTTGCTTTTCTATATTGTTTTGTGTTATTTTAATTAATACTTTATCCATTTTGTACAATTACATAAAATAAAGGAAAAATTCTTGAAGAGAGTAGAAATAACGTTTTTTCAACTACACATCCAAATTGAAAATTGTTCTCTGGGTTGCCAACATAATTTTACTTAGCGATGTGGGTGAAACATTTCTTACATAATTTAATTTTATCACGTAGACTTATTTAAAAAAATAAAAAATCATTTACATAATTTTTAAGTACCAGAGAGCTGTTTTACATTGGAAAACCAAAATGGTCAAACATAGGACACGCAGTCAACGAGTTAAAACCTGACCTGCCAGAAAGCAGTATCTGACCTTGTACTACACAATTTGAATGAACCCTGTCAGACTGAACACAATTAATCCCTTCTGGCCTACTTTTGTCATGATGATAAACGATCTGGTTGTATGAAATCACAGATTGCCTGGGTGATTGTTTGGTTCCTTGAGGCACAGAGTGAAGTGGTTAAAGGTTAAGATGAGTGGTCAGACAGAAATATTTACGTAATTTAATAAAAATAGGAGAATAATTAAGAGTTAGTATTCCCTTAATTTCTCTTTCTCTACTTACTAATTTCTAGTTCTAGTTTTGTCCAGTTAAATTAACAATTAGTAATATAGTATTTGTTCAACTTACTGCTCTTAAAAGTGGTACTTTTTCGCTCTCGACGTATTTTCCAAGGAGCTGTAACAAAATGGTGCTCGCTTCGGAGAATTTCAGTTGGAGTACTGGTTCAGGTACAGCTTTGATACACAAGCTTAGAAGGTTCACTATAGCTGATATAGTCTCATCATCGTTGTCTGCAGACAGAGATGTCAACTAAAATTTACACAAAATGAAAATACAAGATTAAAATGTATTGAATAGTAATAAAAAAATAAATAAATAAAAAAATACCAAAGCACCGAAGTATTCAGTTGTAGTTTCTTCGCCATTGTTTTGCTTAATGACTTCTGTCACAGCTGCAAGTACAGCCAGCATGTTCTTCTGCATGGCCGAGTCTGGTTTAAATTTTGTGACAAGCCTGCAAAAATAACTCTCCAATCAGAAAATGCCTTATAATGAAAATAAATTTGTATAAAAATGAAAGGCACAGACTTGCTAAAGGACTCGTTTGAACATGCGCTCCAGTCACTAGCGAATGTATCAAATGTTTTATAAGTGATCCCTCCGACAGTTTCAGAATCTTCATCCATTGGGGCACTTGAACTGCCACTAAAGACAGCATTGTGCTTTTCAACCGCCTTCTCGGTCAGACCCGAACCTAAAAACATATATTCAATCTCAAAAATGAACATAAAAGTAATATTTCTACAATGAGTTTTATTTTATTAAAAAATTTTAAGCAAAATAAATTATATGTCAATAGCCTTCGGTCTGTCTGTCAATGTATATGTTATAAGAATATTAAATTTATAAATCATTACAAAAATCATGTTACAAATGAATTTTTCAAAAACAAAACCAAATAAAATAGTAAATAGTAATTAAATTCCTTCTATAGCATTTCATTGGGCGTACAGTCACAAAATAAATACAAATTTTAACTTTGTCTAAATTGAATTTTACTCCACAAAGTCATGGCTTGTAATTCAGCTTCACCATATCAACATGTCGACTAATAATGATTTTTTCTATATTAATATTTTGAAATTTAACATATGTAATAGATATTTCTGACATAGATATTTTTGACCAATAACTTTTAATAAAAGTTGGAAGCCCATTGCTAATTTATCTTTTTAGCGACGTCAAATTCAAGAAGCTGTCTAACTTTATCTCAAGGGAACTATATGCACTAATCACGTTATTTTTAGGGTGTAAAGGCCAGGGGGCCAGGGGTGTTTATTAAAAATTGTAAAACACTTTTTGACTCAGCCTGAGGAACACCAAAATAGTTCCAAAAGGTTGCCAAAGTCAAAAAATGTTTTCTGCTTTTAACTAAACACCCCTGGCCTCTATACCCAAAAAATAACACATGTACAACTAAGTCCAAAGGAAAACTATGTAACAGTATTGTAGTTAAAATAAATAAAAAGTTTAGTTATACATTATTTATTTAGAAATGCCAATAAAATTGTTCTCTTCTATCATTACATAATAATTAAGTTGCAAGAAAAATATTCATTGAACAACAATGTATGTTATTTAATACAAGAATCCAACATGCCTGAGTTTTTCCTTTGTTTACAAATATACTCAATGGAATACAGCTTTAATTAGAATTCTATTTTTATTTCGTATACATAAATAAACATTCGCTCTTCAGTAATAAACATGTATTCTGAGAGGTCTAGTTGATTGAAGGGTTTTAAGAAAAATTTATAGAGGGGTCTAAATTCTAAAATCCTATCTGTACAAATTGTTGGGAAGTCCAATGGATATACAAAAAATATAATTAATACTGAAGAGGACTCATGTTATGGTGCTGCAGTATATTGTTCAACAACCTACAGTACAAGTGATAGAATTGCAGATTAAACAGCAAAAACATTTAATAATTATTTTAAAAGCTATATAAATAAATTATAAAAATTCAAGTGACTTGTGTTGTGAAAAAATCCGAGTTTTGTCTAACAATCATTTCAACGTCACACACTGATCAATGCACCTCCAAAGCATAGATAGAAACGTGGATTGTTATAAAAAAATTCTTTGAGCTCTTATATATAAATACAAAGGCGTTGAAACCCAACATTGAGATGACGACAAGCTGGAACACACCTGACAGACAAAACATTCAGCAAGGGTAAAACTACAGGTTCACCACATTTCAAACCTTACGATTGAAGGGTTAAAGTACAGTGCATTCAGCAGTACAGGCAAAGCTACACTACATAACTAATACAAAAAACTATATTTTGCAAACTGAAAAATTGCCCAACATCAAGATGATGACAAGCTGAAATGCACCTGACGAAAAAAAACAATTGGGAAATGACCAAATGCAGGTTCGTCGCTTCTCAGACCTCACAATTGAAAGGTTAATGCACAGTGAATTCAGCAGTACAGGCAAAGCTACAATAAATGACTGTTATACAAAAAAATATATTTTGCAAACTGAAAAATTGCCCAATATTGAGATGATGACAATCTGAAACACATCTGACAAATAAAAATAATAGGAAAGAACCAAACCACAGTTTTTCGCTTCTCAGACTTCACAATTGAAGGATTAAAGTGTAGTGAAATAAACAGTAGAGAGTAGACTGGACAAAACCACAATAAATGACCATTAATAAAACAACAACTGCATTATGAATTTATATAAGATTTATATAAAACTTTTGCAAGAAATTATATAACAAATCTGCACGATGCATATGCCTGGCGGGTCGAGTGGAGATCTGATCCCTATTTGGTGAAGAAATGTGAACTTTTCCATTGTATCTAGATGCAAATGGTTCCTATGCACCGTAACTGTTCCGAACATTAAGATGGAAGTTACTTGCCTTCTCCTTTCACTGGTCTACAACTGCAGCATGGTGGTGGATGGATGATCGAGACACTGAGTGATTAAGCCCTTAGCTTTGAATGACACAGAGGCGACTTACCCCAGCATAAGTTGTAAACATAAGCTTTACAGCAAAACTCTGCGCTGGGAAATAATTTCTTTGAAACACTGTTTATAAATAGAAGTAGTTTGTTGTTATTTTTAACTGAAAATCTTTGATAACCGTAAAAACAGCATTAAAAATTTCTTTAAACCGTCTTGAGAATTTGGTATGGATGATGGTTCCATTCAGACAAGTTGGCTGTTTTTGAAGGATGGTTCTTTTTGAAATTGCGATCTCCGATGAGTCGTTTTGTAAGAAAATAAGTTCTTTTTACCGTTTTCTTTTACAATGCTTTTAAAACAAGAAGAAATTAAATATGAAAGTAATTACCTGCAATCGGTTGAAAAAATCTCGTTTTAGCTGCTTCTCTGAATTTGTGGACTTGAGGGTTGGAACTGGAACTGAATCCTTTCTTCCACTTCTTCCCTTTCGTTGTCACCCTTTTGCGGAATTTAGCCATTTCCGCGTGATATATGATAAAAAACGACCAAAATACGAAAACCACACTGGCCAAAAAGAGTCAAAAACCGAAATGAAACGGTTTCGGTTCGACTTTACAAACACGTGTGCACGTGTACAGCAGGTTGTGGTACAGGTAAGGTTATAATTTATAGTCAGTTGTTATCTGTTATCACTTATGCGTAGTTAGTAGTGGTAGTTGTTAGTTCCTTTTAGCTTCAAGTTTTTTAAAGATATTCAAAATCAACCCCTTCAGCCTGTAAATATTCCAAATTCACCGACTCGAAGGCCTAGATTTTTTTTTCTCAAAAATGAGTATCAGAAATAAACGCTCTAAACAAGAAAATGTGATTCAACCCTTGACACAGCTCATTTCTTACATTGAAGAAACGACTATTCTGTCGGACTGGATGTCCCAGTTACCAGCTGAACGTTTCAATATACCACTCATTTACCTAGCAATACCTGGTATGTACAATTTTCAGTTGATAACAAGTTTATTGTATTTGTTCATTGCCTAAGGCTAAATTCAAATGAGTTCAAGCTGAGCAAGTCCTAAGGGTGAAGGAAAACTTGTTAAAAATCAATTCATTTAATTAGAAGCTAATCTGTGTTTAAGTCTAAAAATATCTTTAACTTTTTTCAGCAATAAAATATGTTCACATCCCCTTATCAAACTGCATAAAATCCATGCATAAACTATGACATTCCAAAGTCCATCATGTCGACATTGTTTCCTTATGACCTTGGCAACCCTAATGATTAACTTAAAAAGCTAAGTAATAAACCAATTATAAGAATTGTTTACCTCTTAATTTCTGTTACTCTATATAAAAACATATTTTTTTGTCAAAGTCAAACTTATGCTTAAAACTGACAAAATGATCATGCCACCATAAATAACCCTTACATCCCGTTAAAAATAGCTATCCAAGAAAAGTGAAAAGTATTTTAATAGAAATGTTAGATAATTTAGATTAATTTGGATGTATGTACAAGTACTTGCCCAGATATTTTCTATATCTTAACATTTTAGTAATCAACTTCCAGCTAATAACACTGTGCTCTCTTTGATAAAATGATCACGCCATCATAAATAACCCTTACATTCCTTAAAAATAGTTATAAAAAAAAAGGTGAAAAGTATTTAATAGAAAAGTTAAATAATTTATATTAAATTGGGTGTATGGTCAATAATTGCACAGATATTTTCTACATTTTAACATTTACGACGATGTTAGCCAGCTATCAGATTTTTTGCTAAGCCTAAATGATTTGACAGGTTTTTCAAAGCTTGGCGAGGCTGTTTTGAATATGTCTTTCAACATCAGAGCATCGTAGTTAAGCTTTTCACGAGCATTAGGCAGAGTTAACTCTTCAAGTTCAACACCAAATAATGTGAAGTTCTTTCTTCTAGTTACCCAACCAGTAATACATCCATGAAATCATTCTTATCACAAGTATGTTGTACTTCTTGAGAGGAAAAAAAAATTCTATTCTATTTCATCCTTCTTGATTTTCAAACCGGCAAATGTTTTGTCCAATGAGTTAAATTCAACATACTTATTGAAGGTAAGTAAGGTAAGGCAGATAGCCTTGCAAAGCTCTTTAAAGGAGAGATTTGGATCTGTATCAGAACAATAGCAAAAAATACAATAGTTTTTTTTTGAGAATCTTTTAAGGCCTTCAGTTCCTCATGGGTCAAGTCCATGCATTTATTATGAACCTGTAAATTGCACTTGAAACGCTTAAAAGTATCTTCTCCAGTTACATCACTCTGGCATTTTAGACAAGGATATGTCTAGAAGTACCATATTGAAAAACTGAGTAAGATATTCAACAAATGAAACACACAGCAAATAAACTTAGATGTACACGCAATAACCTCGCTATCAGCTTATTTTAATCAATTAATTAATTTATTTATACAGGTAAGTTCTACAAGTGTTTAACATAGATAATGGTAAGCTGCTAAAACACAACTGACTGACCGCTTAAGTGAGAGTAGGCAACCCCATGAAAAAAAAAGTGCAGATGGACCAAGGTGATAACAAGTTAAGAGAAATAAAGCTGAATGTTCCTCATTGGACCTCTTCTTTTCAGAAGAGACAATCTTGATTTGTCTGAGAATAGGACTAGAGAATAGGCTCACCCATTGCTGACTAATGGTTAGAGAACCACCTCCTCAAATGGTGTATAAAATATATTCAGGCCTGGTCAGTCAGTTGTCGGAGGTCCTAGGGACATTCCGAGAAAGTAGACAATCTGTTTTCCTTCTTACGAGCCTTTCAATTAATGAACAGGATTTAGACCATACTAGACAATGGCCTGTCTCCAGTTAAATATAACCCATAGAGGATGATCTCCTTTAATTAAAAGAAAAAAGTTCATATCTCAAAAAGTATATGTGGATGAAAACAATTTTTTTTAAAAACTTACACTTATGTTTGGTTATTAATAGGTTCTCATAATTCTCTGACTTACACTATTAAAAAATATGCCAAGTTTTCTCCTGATGTCACCTTCCTTTTTAAAAAGCCGATACCGGTTTGCATACGTCCTTTGATTTTTCGATGGTGTAAAACGCAGGATCTCAGCATTAGGCACCAACTGGAAAATGGAATTAGGTTCGTTTTTTCATATAAGTCCAATTTTCCCCCGTGATGTGCAATCTCTTAAAAATACAGTCAATTTTCAGGTACATCGATGTCAGAATTTGTACTAAACAGAAGAGCCTGGATTTGTTTATCGCACACGGAATGTACGGAGGGACGGTTAGACCAGAGCTCGAAGAGATCAACACATTTCTCAACAGCCATCCAAAAGAAGTCATTATAATTGATTTCCAACATTTCCATTCGATGGACAAAGACCACCATGATAGGCTAATTGACATAATTAAGGCTACCTTTGGCAGTAAGATCTGTCCTGTTCCACCCACCTCAGTTGAAAGCGCTACACTGAACTACATGCACTCGAACAATTACCAAGTAAGTGTGTATTCATAAAATAATATGCAACTATCAAAAAACTGTCTTAATTAAAAATTAATAATTGTGAAATTCACGCTGAGGTCTGTGAGGGAATGAAAATGATGCTTATGATACTCCTGGTTTACCTATTCTTGCCAATAGCAAGAACTGGTGCTGGAAGACTAGGATGACCAGAGTTGATCAAGTTACATAAAACTGTTTTAAATATGATGAGACTGTACTTTAAAAAATACACTTCAATTTAGCATAAAATTGTTGTGAAAATTAAATTTCTTATTTCCTATAGATGTTTCACTTTTAGGTTTTATAATTTTTTGATGTCCATTTGTTGTTGCAGGATTTATTTGTTTTAGTTTATTAAATTTTTGTGTTCATATTTCAGGTCATTATAATTTACCGTTCGAATACAATAATATGTGATATATTTTGGCGAGGCACTCAATGGCCAACGTTCTGGCCTGCGACAATGAACCCGAAAGATATGATAAATATGTGTGAAAATGCCATCAGGAGGCGCAAGTCGAGCAGTGGTCTTGTATCGCAGGGCGTCCTCACTGCAAAAGCGACCACCATCATGTGCCCGACTGGTAGCGTTAGAAAGTCATGTGCGCACAAAGCGCTCATCCCAATGATGGAGTGGCTAAATCACTGCTATAAAGACAACCTTCGTGTCAATGTTGTAATTGCTGATTTTGTCAATTATCATAACAATTTATTAATTAAGGGCGTCATATCATTGAATTATCGAGAACAGATTCCTCAATTAGAAATTGGTTAAGAAAAACGTTGCATTTTATATTCCACACAAGTTCACTTGACATAGGCTAGTATTTATTAGTATTTCTTTGCTTTAGTAGAAAAAAGAAATTTCTAATGTGCTAGATTAAAAAAAAAGTGCCTTTATGATGAAATCTTTTATCAATCATCACAATTTATTCATACAATCACACAATTTTTAAAAAATAAAATTTTAATGAATGATACACATCTTGCAAATGAACATTTATTTAAATCAAGTTTATTTCTTTAAGTAGTTATTTACCAAAAGGGGGAAAAAGGAAAAATCCCTCATGATGATATTATGCACACAATAGATATAATGTTAATAACTATATCATCACGAATGCATGTACAACATGAAAAATAATGTTTCCAAAGCCTAATTTTTGCAGATAAACTAACATGTTTAAATTGAATTGTTCCAAAAAAAATAGAAATACGATATTAAGATAAAAAACATTTTACAGTTACATATTTGAATTTTTTTCCAACTGATAAGTTGAAGTTTGTTATAAATTTTTTTTTCCTTTAAATTTTTTCATGTATAAAATTAGGTTTTGCTGTTAACAACAAACCATTCACCAAATGGCATAATTTGAATAATTAATTTATTCGACACTATAAACTAAAATTTTTTGACCTTTCCTTCCTTTTTAGTTTTATGTTGGCTGAGCGCCCAGTTCTTTTTCACATTTAGATCTTATATTTAACCTAGAAGTACTTCTCTAATGATTTATTTTGCATTGCTATTGAAAAAAATATTATTTTTATATTTACAATTTACTGTACTATTTAGTAACTTTATTTTTTTCACTATTTTTTTAATATATTAGTGATTTTTTGCCTGTAGTACTTGAATTTAGTGAATAGTGTATTGTGGCTTGACTTGAAGCTTTCCTTTATAATTATCGAATACTTAATTAAGTACTATGTCAATAAATAAATAGCTTCATACAAGTTACACATATCTCAAGTTCCTAGTTAATTTTTTTGTGTTATGAAAGCGAATAGTGAATATGTTATGCAGAATTATTGGCTGTGAGTTAATTATTATTTAAAACCAAAGTTTAATATTACCTCCAAGAAAAAAGAAAGTGACAATTTTTGCATAAGTTTTTGTTTATAATTAACAATGAAAAAGAGCAAAATGACTTTATTGTTCAAAGATAAAGTTAAATTATATTTATTTATTTACTTTAGCTTTTTGTTTTTGTAAATCAAAGCATTAAGCACATAATAAATAAAATATGCATAGCATTGTTTTTCTTTTATTCCATTAAATTTCCTTGTGAAAATAATTATATATTTGTTTTTTATATAATACAGACGAGTTTTTATTTTTTTATTTTATTTTTACATATGTAAAGTAATTCAAAGTTTTAAGAACAAAACAAACTTGAAAATTGCCTGGTAGGGAGCCTCCTAAAGAACAAATCATGATTAATAAAAGGAAAGAACTGTACTTTTTAATCTCACTCTTCAATTTTCTTCATAGGTGTTTCAGTAGATAGGGAGGATTATCTGGGATTCTAGTGGAATGTGAAGTCCCAAGAAATTCCGTTCAAGTAGACAGATGGCAGTGAAGTTAATTTATTTGCTCTTAGTTGCATTTGTTTTAATTTTCCACTTTTTCAACGGATGAGGCACTGCAAATGGTTCTGAAGGAGTGCAGGACAAGATGAATGGGCAAGATTTTTTTTGGGAGGATAGGAATGCAAGTTGTATATGGTATAAATGAGAGGTCCAAGAATGCCCCCTTGCAGGACCAGCTTTGATAGGACAGAGGATATCGCTGTACGATTTTACAATGAGGTAGTAGGATGGACTTCAGCTTTCACAGAAGGATCGGGTGTTAAATCTTGTCAAAGACTTGAGGAATGTCAATGGCCACATGGACAACACTTTTGTTTGAGGAGGGTGACAAGACGTCCACAACGCGATAGCATTGATGGATTGTGGATTTTTGGAGGAGGTCAAAACACAAAATTCATCAAGAACACACTTACCTCTAATGAAGAACATGGTTTTCTTCAAAATTTTCATTGTTTTTGTAATTTCGATACAGTAAAATGAAAAGGAAAATAGTTATATTACAGGAGGATGAATGTGGAAGCAATAAGGTTGGAATTTTCACTGTAAAAAAATCTATTAATTTTTAATGAAAAAAAGGGAACTTCAATAAATCAATCCCTCTATGCCAAACACAATGTATGTCAACCCATCGCTGAGTGGTTGAGCTCTCCTTAATTAAATGAAACTCATCTGATATGGAACTTTTTTTCATTCAGGCTCTTTTTTTAAAGTTTATACAGTTTTATATACATATCAATGTAAATTACACTTTTAATTAATCAAATCTTAATTAAAAGTTAATTCAATTTTTTAAATTAATATATTGTTAGAACAATTATTATATTTTCTGTTTGTTTTTAAAATAAAATTATTGTTTACTCTTCATTCTTCTTCCTCCATTAGCTTAGAAATCTAAAGCAATTACAATTGTTGAATAATTGCTACTTGAGCTTTATATTATCAATTTATATAAAAATAAAAATACAATTTAAATTACAATTTCATAAATTATTTAAAAGGCTTATGCTTGTAAGTCTTGTCACAATCTTTGCACACACCGCGTTTCCTATTTAACAGGTTGACCCGTTTGTTTTTAGTTATACTTTAGAAAACGTTTTGCAACCCGTCTGGAAAATTAGAATCTGTTTCCGAGATTAGCTTCGAGAGGGCTAATCCTAATCGTCTGCATCATCTCATAGATGTTGCTCACCGAAATCCCTGGCTAATTAGTCAGCCTGGCTTCGCTCATCCGCCGTAATTGCGTTAATTCACTTTCTGGAGCTTTTGCCCGATTTATGAATAAATTCGGCAAACGCTCGGAATATTCCATGTTGATTATAACACAGAATAAATTCCTCGCGAGTTATGAAAATTTAGGCTAACCAAAGGATTCGATTTTGTCGACGATTGCAATTCATTTTTGGCTGATTTCTTTCCACCATTTTTCAGACCATTTCATAACGCCATCATTAGAAAAGACTTTAATGGAAAAAATACACAAAATTGCAGTTTATTTCTTCCATTTTTCTTCTTTGCCCAGAAGGTCAGAAGCAGAAAATATCTCGCATCAAACTCCTTTGTTTGCAGGTGGGAGGTCAGACCCAAGAGCATCAAGTTTGTCACATCATTTATGAAGTTCGTATTCAATTCTATTCAAGTAGACCATTTTCTGTCGATATTTGCAATTAATTTCTTAATTTGTAAATAGTAGTTGACAAAATTGACGTTTTAAACTTTCGGTTCTTTAGGATGTGTTTGTCTGTTTGACCTTCGCCATGAACTGTTTGTAAACGCCCTTTTCATCACCCGTCTACTAATCTTGAAAGTAAATGATCTTTATTTATAACCGAATCAAAAAAGAAACCAAAGAAACAAAAGGAATTCGGTAAATAGACTAGTGGAATTTCTCGTTGTGTACATGTACGATGTTAGACGCGTGTAGGCATTTCGCTGTTAATGGATGCCCGCGTGTTGTCTCTCGCACTCGTCCCGTTTGGAATAATTATCTTCACGCTAAATCAAAAATATTGTAAACATTTACTTTTTTCCTGGGGGTCTCCATTTCTTTTAATGTGACCTAAATACCTTTCGATACCTCGGAAAGTGCACTAATTGTAAGGAAGTTGAGTCCTCTTCGATTCTTTAGGCATCGCATTTCCGAAGAGACTGTGCCTTTTCCGGGCTAATGCCTTGCCTCACATAGGGTATGTTACGATGTATCTGCTTTCTCATGACAAAGTTGGCAGATTTCTGTCTTAGTTTTTCCATTTTTTTAAAGTTATGATTAAATGGGCAATGACCGTGTAAAGGGCTACAATTTTCCTCAATTCTTGCCTGCTGAGAAAGAGGTAGATTTTTGTTTACCTAGTTGTGATGTTAAGGAACTTATTTAATCGTTTTGCACCCTTAGCAGACCCATCTCCTTACCGTGTTTCGTTTTCCCAGGAGTTGAGATATCTTAGATATTCCCAGACAAGCTGGAATTGAAGGTGGATCAATTCCAAGTGGAATTTTAAGGCCTTCTGTGCTGCTTGGCTATCTAGAATACATATCTGTGAACCTGTTAAGTCCTTTATTTATTCATTTTCCGTATAAATAATTCCTTCATTTATTCCGTATTTCTTGTACACAGAGCTCTATTGAATTACTTCCCATGTATGTCGCATGAGCTATAAAGTAAATAAAACAGGAAACAGCGAAAATGTCAATAAATCAAATGATTTTGCGAATGGGTTTCTACATAGAAAAATAATAAATAAATAGTGTCGGATTAATAAACAGGTCGGAGGAGAAAGAGCTGTGTTTGGAAGGAACCGTTAATTGTCGTACCAAATTAGTTGGAATAGCTACATGGCATTTTTATGAAATCATCACACCATTGGAAATTCCACATAGAAACCAGTTTCAGAACCTATATTGTAAAAAATTAAGTGTCAGCTTTCACCGTAGGAACATTTTGAACATGAGTAGACAAATTGGGTAAATTGAATTAAGTGTACATGAGAAGAGAGAGAGATGGAGAGAGAGCGAGAGAGAGAGAGAGAGAGAGAGAGAGAGAGAGAGAGAGAGAGAGAGAGAGAAAGAGAGAGAGAGCGAGAGAGGGAGTGAGTGAGAGTGAGAAGAAGAGAGAGAGAGACACACACACAGACAGACAGACAAATATAAAAAAAGATGTAGACAATGCAAATGAAAGAGACTGAGTGAAACGGAGAGAGAGTGTGAGAGAGAGAGAGGACAGAGAGAAAGAGAGTGAGAGAGAGGGTGAGAGAAGGAGACAGAGCAAGAGAGAGAGATGGAGAGAAAGAGCTAATGAACGCCCAATTTTTGACACATTTTTGTAATTTGTTTTTTGTTTGTTTTTCCTTTAATACAATTAATGTAAAACAAGGTAAAAATACAGGACAATGGTTGTTAACACAGTTGGTATCCAAATCAGTTTTAATTATTTGCCATTAATTATTGCTTGCATCGGGAGAAATTTGGAAGGCTCTGGGAGTTAAAAATGAATAAATGGGCACTATAACCAAAATAACACAGACTAATAATTACTGAACATGCTGAAACACTGTCAAATCCAAGCAGCGGGTTGAATTTAACAAGTGTACGAAAGAGTAATGGCAGAGGACTCGGCTTAGTCCAAATTTGTATATTCAGGTCCACCTATTCAAGAGACAGCACTGGAGCCGGACAATCAACATGTCATCTTCAGTGGGTGTCAGATAGCCGGAAGTAGCACCGTCCTTTTATGTAGTTTACCGATGGCGTCGAACTCCAGACCTACAGAAAATCAATCAAGAATATTTGCTTATATAATTTAAAAACCACTTAATCGTCATGGAATTACATTAAGTTAACATGATAAATAAAATAGAATAAATTTTAAAGTTAAAAGTTAAAGTTAAAAAGTTGTCTAGAATAATGTGGATATTTAGTGTTTATTCCTTTATCTAAACGAATAAAATCACCTGCTAACCATTTGGCATTGAATACTCTAATAAAGAAAAAAAAAATGATTGCTATAACAACTGTTCTAATGAATAAGTAGAAAGATTTCAGTTTTAGAAATCTATTTTCCCGAAAAAATTTTACATTGAAAAAATTTTGATGAAAATCCCCAAGGGGTTTACTTTTAAAATTTTTAGTTGCGTGCCTAAACCAACAATTTCTTGAAAATTATTTGGAGGTCGTGAGATGCGGTCTAGTGTGACTTAGGTTTTAGAAAAACATTTTCTGTATCGTGCCAGCGTTTCGATCTTTATTGAGATCATCTTCAGGGTCTGGGATTTATAAACACTGCTTAAATTTTACAAATCATGTAGGATGTGAAAACAATGAATTTATACATTGCTAGAAAATTTTAGATTAAAAAAAAATTATTTTACTACTTTAAATCTAATTTTTTTTAAATCTAAAATTTTCTAGCATTGTATAAATTCATTTTTTTCACAGCCTACATGTATTTATAAAATTTAAATAATTTTAGTTAATATTAATTTTAACAATTTTAGTTATTAATTATTTAAGCAATTAACAAACAGGGCCAAATCCCAGGCTCTGAAGATGATCTCAATAAAGATCGAAACGTTGACACGATAAAGAAAATGTTTTTCTAAAACCCACGTCACACCAGACCGCATCTCACGACCTTCAAATAATCATCAAGTAACGGTCATCAAACACGACTCAAATTTCTTGAAAGTTGTCTCAAGGTCTACTGATTGTATATTAACAATTAAGCTACGTTCGTTTGTTTTGAAATTTCATATTTTTCTTGGCTACCGAGGAAATCCCCTGGGGTTCCAGGTTTCCCCATTAGTATGATATTTGAAAAATAATTCATGGTAACAACTCTTCGCAGAATGTAAAATGTACAGACAGTTTAAATTTATATGTTGATACAGTTTTAAATTGTCAATTAACAAGAGAACAAGAGTGTTTGATTTTTGTTGTCAATCTTCGTCTTCTAACCATATCCTGAAGAAATTTGGTGAGTTGAAATGCTTTCGATTCCAAAATTTAAACGGTTTCTGTCCTATCATTTCATTATTCAGAAAGGTTTAATAGATGTTGACACCCAGGAATCCTTATCAAAGAATGTTGCACAATGTGAAGAAGAGTACTGAACGGGTAAAAGTGCACTTTGTTTGACGTTGACTGTCAACTTACAAAAATTCAAAATAAATTAATTCGACCGGGGCGAAATGAAGACCGGAACTCAGGGAGGGAAAAAGTAGACCAACAATTTCACCTATTTGGGAATAATTTTAATACCTCAGCTAAAGTATAAGAAAACATTTTCAGGGAAAAGCAACGAAAAGCAAATTTGCTTTAGGGGTCTAAGTGGAAATAGAAATGGAAAATTATGGAAATTATACATTTGTCAACAAACTATAGAGTATTTGATGCATCTTTAAGAATGTTATGTGCTATTCATCAAAAACCTGGGTGTACAACGACTACGCAGACATTGAATAGTCCAAAAATATTTCCTAAAAAGTCTTTAATTTGTCCAAGAATTGCCCTGATTATTTGGTATCTAGAAACAGTAAAACACCTTATTTTTTTCATAACATCCAACTACACGTAAACTTTGTTAACATAACACTCAGTCTCAAAGCTTAAACGTTACTTAACGGAATACTTCATCCAACAAAACATATTTTGGTTCAAAGAAATGAAATCCCTTTGTTTACAAATATATCTAATTCATATTTTTGTAAGACTCCCACGCTTCTTTGGCCTATTGGCCAGGACAGTTTGCACTTTCATTTTCTTTGTATAATGCCCTTTGAGGAGAGACAGTTGGAAAGCTTCCTTACAGCAAGCAATGGGATGATAGGCGAGACTGCCAGGGTTTCTGATGATGGGCAGAAAAAGAAAAAAACAAAACGAAACGTAAATGAACAAACGTGAAAAAAATGAACCCGTATAAAAACCACGTGTTTCTTGGTCTAACCCTATTTTAAAGAAAATCCTTTTTAGGAAAATTAAAAATGTAAGTACAAAAGATGTACTTTAAAAAAAAAATGTACATGAAATACTTTACATGAAATGGGGGTAGGACTTAAACATTAAGATGGGTAGGAAAAAATTGTGTTTTCCACAATTTCCTATTGTGGAAAAGACAATTTAAAAACTTTACACGAAACATGAAAATCGACCTTTAGAAACGCGCAATTCAATAAGCGAGCTCTGACAAAATTGTACAACACGTACAAAATTTAACAATAGGGCGAGGGTAAATAAGCTATGAAAAGAAAAATGCTTTGATTGATTAGCCTTTCCATTTCGTATGATTGTACAGCTAAAAAATATTGGAAAATAATTTGGTGGAAATGTAAAATAACTTTAAATCGTAGAAAATTTAATCTTTCGTAATCGCTTTAATTATATTTAAGTTTTTGTCTTAACTGTTAGCTTCTAACAGAAAAAAAAGTAAAAATATAATGGGTGTCAACCTGAATTTGAACGTTTTCTTGCTAACAGAAAAAATTTGAAATTTCACACACACACACACACACACACACACACACACACACACACACACACACACACACATATATATATATATATATATATATATATATATATATATACANTGTATGTATTGTCAATTTTATTGTGTCCTATAAACCTCAATCCCCTAAAATTTTCCACAAAATATATTGTTTCTTAATTTTATATTAACAATAAAATTTTTTGATTTTTTTATCTTTGGCCCAACAAATATGAAAGACTTAGAAGAAAGGCGCACAATCCCGAAGTCGATTTGTAAATAAATTATGATTATGTAATTATATGCACGGTGTCCTTTTTAGAAGGCCCGACTGAATTTCTCTTGAACCAATGACGCTATCAATATTTTATTTTTTAGTCTAGTTACAAATTTTTTTTGGAAAAAAATTATACGGGATACCTCAGGCTCAGTTCAACTTCTACGTTTCAAATACGACCCTATACATCCTCATAGGTAATTTTAAAGGATCTTTTACCCGGAAAAAAATGGTGCAATCGGATTTTAAATAGGTCAAAAAATGACAAAGCTATGGTAAAAAGATACCGGAATTCCCTCTCTTAAATTTTAGAAGGGTTTTATATTAAAAAAAGATTAGGAGATGTACTCCGGACAATTTTAAGCCATACCACTCTCATCTTTTCCAGGGACTTCGGGACTATGGTTATGACAGGAGTCTAACGTTTCTTGCACAAATGTCCATTTGGGAGGCTGAAGAAAACAATTCTTCCATACACCCTATGGACTAATGAATCCAAGTTCACTCTAATGGCATAATAAACCATTGGAATTTTCGAACGTGGGCAGAGGAAAATCCGACAATTTCGTACTCTTGTCATCATCAGGTCATATGAGCGTTTGGCGTGGACTTCTCAGAAATAAATTAATTGGGCCTTATTTCTACGAACGTGGTGCTATGCTAACAATGGTACTCAGTTTCTTAATCTTTTTGAGGAAGGTTTTACCAAACAATTAGATGATGTTCCCTCTGCAACAACGACAAAGAATGATCTCCAGCTTGATGGATGCCCCCACACAATTTTTTGCAGGTGAGACGTTATTTGAATCGTCACTTCCGGGATAGGTGGATGGCCCGATCTGTTGGCCTCCTCGGTCATCCGATTTAGCTCCACTTGACTATTTTCTGTTAGGCCATTTTAAAAAAAAGTCTAGCCAATCATAACCCAGCAACCTAAGTTGAACAACTGCACCAAAGGATAGAAATTGCTTGTTAATCCATCTCTCCTGACTATCGCTCTGAGCACCGGTGAAGGGTGATTAAAAAAAGCAAATTTTTGCATCTTCACGCAAGGCAGGTAGTTCGAACATGAAATGTGATTAATAAATAGCAAACCAATTTTTTTTCTTCAAACCTTCCATCATAACTTTGTCATTTTTCGACCAATTTAAAATCCTATTGCACCAATGTTTTCAGTATAAAAAAATCTCCAAAACGGTATGTCAGGATGTTATTTAAAATGTTGAAGTTGAACAATTTTTTGTTTTTTTGCCTGAGGTACCCTGTATAATTTTTCACCCAAAAAGGCAAAATTTGAAACTAGACTAAAAAATATTAAAGTCGTATCTTTTGTTTTTTGATAGCGTCATTGGTTCAAGAGGAATTCAGCCGGGTCTTCTAAAAAGGACACCCTGTATACAACTGTATAATCATAATTCATTTACAAATCGATTTCGGGATCTTACGCCTTTCTTTTAAGTCTTTTATATTTCCTGGACCAAAGTGGAAAACAAATCAGAAAATTTTATTGTTAATATAAAATTAAGAAACAGTAGATTTTGTAGCAAATTTTAAGGGATTGAGGTTTGGGACACAAAAATATAAAAAAATGATTGGCGCTATAGTGACAACTGTGTTCTGATGGAAGTACCTGACTCCTTAGAAGGTACTTTTTTCATATTTCACAAATGAAATAGAAGAAAGGCTTTTAATCGTCGTACAAAATGTTCTGCTCGTTTTTTTTACAAAGCACTTGAACCAGGCATAGACCGTCTGCCGAATCGCTTTCCACAGACCAGCTCCGAATATAGTATAAAGTCCGTAAAACGGTGAAAGTTCGACTCTCGAAGATCGTGTATCGTCGAAAAGGGCGCAACAGTTGTCCGGAGGCGTGGGGGTCGAAGAGGCCCTGAGTTGCGCTCTGCCTCGGACTGGTTCAGTCAGAACTTTGAGTCCAACGAATCAACAACCAGGTGAGTTGTTATCCAAAGTGCAGATCCTCGTATTCTGGGTGATCGAACATGTACTAAAATTAAATCCAACGTGGGACGGGAACCCGCCTAAACTACTAACATTAAAAAAAGTACGCCTAAAAAAACCTATGTATAGAAAAGTCAAATATAAAATTTGGTGGGCAGTGCAACAAGACATTAGATTTGAATGTGTACAACTTTATTAATTACATTTATAATCCAAAATGTAATTTTTCTGTAGTGAAAAAAACAACAAAATAATATTCCAAAAATATTATAAATTCTTTTAATCCTTGAATAATAACATTGGAGATGAATTCTTAACGTTCACCCATTCGAATTTTCTTTCGACCTTATGTATGACTCTTGTAGGTTGTTGGGTAAAAAACCGTATTGTAAGGATATAAAAATATACGGTCAAAATAAAGAAAATTATATTCAAGTCAGATAAAAAAATTAGGCACAGGTTCAATATTCACATATGTGTTTTTCTAATCAATTTTATCAGTCAAACAACCAGACTCCTGTCATTAGAATTTCTATTTTTTTCCCTCTTTATGTGTATATAATTGCGAATATAAAGGAATACTGACACATACTCGTGATACACACACACACACACACACACACACACACACACACACACACACACACACACACACACACACACACACACACACACACACACACACACACACACATTTATGAAGAGAAAACACCTAGATTTTCAGAAATGAAGGTGTATTAACCCAACCAAATTTAAAATTGACAAAAGTTTAGTCATTTTATGCCAATGGCTTCTATGTTATTTTATCATTAATACTGTTATTAGTGTACTAAAACAATAAAAAGTTTAGTGCATATTCGTCTAAACTCTAGTAAGTTTAAATAAATGACGTCCTGAAATACATTGATTTTTACCACAAATATTAATACATCCAATTTATATTAGATTGTCATAAATAGCATTCGGTCATAACAAAATAAATAAAATAGGAAATTAGTTGTGAGTAAGGTCGTACGGTTGATGTGACCAAAATGACTAGTGACGATTAAATTTTGAATTGTTCAATTATTTCAAGCACACTGACAACTGTGCTTAATCCCTTAAGCTTACAAATTAAAAGAAACCTTCAAATTCATTTAATGTTACAATTTTTGATTTTACCATTTGAAAAATGGTTTACCATAGGCCGTACTACCACATAACTGTCAATAGGCATCCAAACTTAATTAAGAACGCAAGTACCTTAAGCATTTTTTATAACGATTAACTTTAAGCAGGCAATGCTCCCAGTACTTTGCGTTATGGTAAATAAAATTTACTAATGAGAAAACGATCTGATTTTAAAATTCCCAATTTATCTGACCAGGCTGCAAATGCAGAACTGCATTTTAGCCGTCGAGGTGATCTATAAAAAAACGTTCCTTTCGCCTTTTTCGACTCAGTGAAGTTGAAATTTAGTCGTTCTATATTTAGACACCTTTTGTAGGAGCGATAACAGTGTCGAAAATCCAGAAGCGCCCACCTATCATTTTATAAATTGGGCTCAAACTTAAATCAAACCGTTAAGGAAATTTGAGATGTAGAGTCAAAACGCGATATTTCCTTATATTCGCCTCTCAAGTCGAATCTGAAGCGGAATACACTTGTGCCTTCATGATTTCGTCATTTTCGACGTACGTGCATATACAATGTTTTATGTCAATCGTAAATAAACAAAAGTCCGATAAAGGTGTGGGCTGTGTCCCAAGGGATCAAAGAACGCGAAACGGTCAATACCGGCCGACGTTGAACGCCATAATTTTACCATTGCATATGTAAAATACAGGGTTTCCGTGGTGAATTGCGGTCTCATCCTTTATTCTGGAGGTGGAAGGCAAAATTCAAATTGCATTCCTCTTTCATTTAGATGGTAGATTTCATGAAAATTCAATTTTATGATATTTTATGGATAACCTAAAATTTTGAAATAGACCACCTACGTTTTTAATTCATTTATGAAAGTGTGTCAATTTTCAAGAAAACCGAAGGAACATGAAAACGCAGCGAGGTTTGTTTAGATCCTATGAATTTTTTAAGTTTGTGGATACGGTTTTCAATTTTTCTTTTTTAATAAAACAAACGTGAATATAAAATAAACACTATTATTTAAATTAAATCCAATTAAATAATAAATTTTTTATTTCTTGTTGTCACTCATAGTGCCGATTATTGTTAGGCCTAAATTGTTAAAAAAAAAGTCAACACGTCCAGTAGACCACTAAATCGGCCTTAACTCGGGAGAAAGTCGATAGCTGTGAAACCTACATGTTTTCTGGGAGAGCGGTGAACGAAAAAAGTTAAATTTAAATTTAAGATTGTTATTATTTAAATTTCAACATATTATTATTTTTTTCCTGGTGAGTGTACGCCCTAACACCAGGGAGTTTATTTAAATACTTGCTCCATTAATAATATTACATGTAAGGGGCGTCGGTGGCCGCAACGGTTTAGGCGTTGACACGGCGCTCATCACTGTAAGGTAAAGGGCCCGGGTTCGAATCTAGCGGCCCTGCATTCGAACCCGACATACTTACAATATTGATATTGTTACATGATATGATATGTTATGTGTATGTTATTTGATATGTAGGTTGATATGATCTCTGCTGGTACGAACCCTCGTTAAAAAACAAAAAGAAAAAAATTACATTTATGATATCGATTAATAGTTTTTAAACAATACTTTAAACAAAAAAGACAACAAGAAAATGAATAATAAATCAAAAGTAATCAAACTCAATTGTAAAACAAAAAAGAAGATTTTCTACACTAGAAAGAAAAGTTTTTAATTGTTCAGAAAAATAAAAATGGCATTCACTAAGTACCCAAAACACGACAGTATCTTGGCTTTGCCTGAAGCCAACGTAAGCCTTGAGTTACCATACTTTCGCACTCCAGCATTTGAGGTGGTGCTTGACTGCATGACTGCGTCAACCTTGCGTTTTTAGGTGAAGCATCCGAAGGCGGGAAGATACAGCTGGAACAAACTTCTTTGTTTGTTGGTGAGTGGTGCTACTCCATAAATCCTCCCACGCCTCCAGGCCGTGCGCACCTATCTTCTTCTTGACTGTATCAAGAGGAACCCTGGTTAGAAGAGATGCAGATGATTAATTCGGGAAGAAGCCTTAGCCATCCGATCCGCGAGTTCATTCCTTGAAAACCCAACATCCGCTTTAACACACGAGAAAGAAATCGTGTAACTACGCTCAATTTTACGCAACGTGCATATTATTTTTTCTATGAGCGGCAATTGTACCTGCGTGTTAAGCAGGGAGTCAAGGGTGATCCTAATATCAGCCGCGATTCGAACCTTGGTCGCCTGATGACAATGACGTTCCACCCATTCCATGGCTTTGGCTATTGCCAGTTGTTCAGCGCGTGCGTATGTGTATGTGGGTGGGTGAGTTGAAAACCCTTGTTCAGCTTTGAATTGTACACTTCAGTGTCACGAATCAAATAAACGCTGTACATTTTAAATTTCCCCAATAATTTTAGGAAGACATGACATACTGAACCTTCCTTCTTTAAACTCTCGACGTTTCATGCTAAATCATATTTTCTTTTTCCAATTGCTAAATACTTATATTGATTTATCTTCTGTACTTATGGCAAAAAGGAGGGAAAACTCATAAGGTGGGGTTGAGATAGGAAGTTGATGTCCGAGTGGATCGAGGTAACGATAGCTCAAGTGGTAGAGCAGCGGCGTATCTAGCCGAAGATCGTGGGTTCGAATCCCGCTCGTTCCATTAACTTTTTTTCATCTCAACTAAAAATCTTAATTAATTGTAATAATTTATGTTTACATTCCTTTTTTTACACTTATGCATTACAATATCTTACATGTATCTTACTTCAAGCGATACTTACCTATTCAGTAGCCATCTCCTAATTGATTTCATAACCTTATCTACTTACCAGCGAGAGATCAGACGACCGATTATAACGTACATAATATGGGAGATTTATGGGCCGACAAAGAGCTGTAATCGCCGTCCGTCTGCGTGCTTGTAATTCTTTTTCTGTTCTTTCACGTTTATTTTTTTAACTTCAGTCATTTGCGTCTCTTCATCTTGTTACTGACTTTCTACTTTTATGATTACTACGCCGTTATCCTAAAATGCTAGCCTCTACGTTTGGGGTCGGTTGTACTTGATATTCCAACGACACCGGTATCCCAACACCACAAAAGAAATCTGGTCACATCCACTCCCCAGGATTACTCGATATTCCTCGGGGCGGGGTTAAAATTTTCCTTTCCTTTCACGTTAATAAATTACATTCGTTCTAATAAATTAACTGAACAATAGAAAGACTCAAAAAGTAGGCTAAGCTGGTCTTGGATTCATATTACTTTCGTGCTCACTTCCTCAATCTTCTCTCATTCGCTCTCTCTCCCTCTCTTTCATTTTTTTGGGTTTAGTCCTCAGCTTTTTCCTCATGAAAGTCTTTGGACAAAGATGACTCCCAGCTATTTTGCCTCTTTAGAGAAATGAATTACAACTTAATTCAATACAAGGCGCTTCAGTCCTCCTAGTGGCCTTTTCTTGACAAGATGGTTCTGTTAGGTCTTACAGACATTGATTGGACACAGTAGACTCCAGAGCCGTGTAGTCAGAGCAGCAGAAACAGCCTGTACAGATATTGCCTGGAAGAAACAGAAGCATCGGAATCCTATGTTGGAGCAAAGGCCTATAAAGCCTGAGATTCCTACTTGTGGGAGAGGAAAAGCCAAGGTCAGAAGGATACATGGAAGCCCTTAACAAAGCTTTGGGATCTGTTAAAAAGCACACTTTGTTAAGTTTAATGAAGATCCAAACACTACACAATCACTACATATATTTCAAAATCCCTATAGCTCTGAGGTACCGTATGATCAGTGCCCGCTCCTGCCCCGAAGGCTAAGCATAGGTCCAACGATATGCCAAAATTTTGCCTATGTCAAGCCTTCTACAAT